ACAAACTGTATGCAAAACTGGCTACACAGAAGTGAACAAAGTGAGCCGACATATTACATCTTCCACTCCACAATATGCTGTTGGGTAGAGACTTGAAAATAGTTTCACTGGCTGCGCGTAATGGTGTCTCTCTGGAGCATTAAACCTGACTCCTGAGGCTCTCACTTCTCTGTGATACCTGGGATTTTGAAAGTATGCATTAGGCATCTATTCACACTCCTACCATTGCACACATTTATAAATAGATAATTGAATCTAACTCAGGATGTGTGCACTAAACTGTGATACTAAAAAAGTTACACATTGGAGGCTTTACATTTGCACTGTTGGCATAATATCCTAACTATTAACCCTTTTTGTTTGTTTGCTTACACAGGGACAACAAAGTACTATGTGTTTTCTAAATAAATGTATTTGAAATGCAATGAAGGTTAGTGGATTGGAGAATCCTCTGCATGCAGCAAAAAGCAGCAGTTAGAGCATGTCAGCAGTTTGAATCATATGGGAATTTAGAAAAATCCCCTTCTAGCCAAGAGGATTATACAACAGTTTATATTACCTCCACAATAAAGTTACAGCATAGTAATTGTATCCGTTGTCATATTTAAACATATTCTTGGGACTTCTTGGGAAAAGGTTAAACAGTATCTCACCTTAATTTTGTGGATGGACTTCCCTTCCTCCAGACCCTGGGTGAACACCGTGATGCCCCCCTTGTTGTGGTTGATACTCCAGCCTTCCTCGCACAGACACTCCGCCTTGAAGCTGGCAAACGCCCGGTCATCCGGTATGGTCACAGTCTGTCCAGACATGGCTAGTTACCGGGGGGGAGAAGGGAGAAGAGAGGGTTAGTGAGACTCCTGTCGGGCCCGGGGGGACACTGTGAGCCGGGGAAATGAAGGCAACGCAGAGAGCCAACCACTTACTTCTTCTGTGGGAATAACTTGTCTAATTCAATTTCCTTCCTCCTTGCAAGCTAGAAGCTGTTGTAGGCTGCACCGCGTCTTGTGATGATCAGCGTGCGTGTGTGTGTGCGCATTGAGGGAGGTACAACAACCGCAATCCACCCTGCACAAACTAATCAAACAGGGGGGTTATAAGCAAAGACTCACACAGGTGAGAGCACTCAAAACATAATGCACATAAGTCGTGTATCAGATGAATCAAATGTGGCTTTTTTAATTGATGACGGTGATTAAATAAGTTGTAGCGAGGTCCTCAGAAACAGCCACTGTTGAGACAAACCATATGTTTCTGTTTCCGCTTGTCTCTCACCGTTTTTCTCTCCTTCTTTCTGTGTCCCCCTCTTCATACGTCTTCCCCTACCGGTGCCTTTATTTCCCCCTCTCTCAGTTGCAGTATTCCTTGGGCTTGGGATCATTTGCAGTGGCTCTCCATCGCTGCGTCGCTGCTGTGGCAGGTGGTGGAGGAGATGCGGTGAGAAATAAGAGGAAGAGGGGGGAGACGGAGGGAGACGGAGGGGGGGGAGAGGCGGAGGAACCAGGGTGAACAGGCAGGCGACGCAGGGGCTGCTACAATGGAAACGCCTCCCTGTGCTGCCTTCAGGTGCTCCCCGTAAAACTGCCATAAATACATTGTGTTCGTTTTAATTAAAGTTACAGTAGACCACTGTTGACAACTAACATGTTGGGAACCTAGCTAATGCTAACACTGTTAGAAGTATTTTGTAATGGGAAAACACAATTTGATATACATTATTACACCAAATAATGATACATTGTTTTCCAACTATTTCCTTTCTGTATTAGGCTAATTGTAGCCTAGATCTTACCTTAGAGCTCGAGCAAAGATTAAACCAGCCAATATGTAGCACTGGAAACAGATCTCTATTGTAAATATATCAAACTGCCTCAGATTTGGCCCAACCCTTAACCCTGGAGGTAAGCCATGGAGTGAGAAGGGGCCTAGGTTTTTACTTTTCAATTTTCAAGCACCTCTTTATCTAGCATCAATAATAGTAATCTGCATATCTTTCTTACAGCTCAAACAGTCAAGCTACGCCTGTTTGTTTTCATATTCCCGATAGCTTTTGAACGCAACCCGCGCTATCACATCATACACGTGCACCTTTTTGCAAACTAGTTAGTTTACAGAGCCGCGGGGGCGCGCCTGGCTCCTGTTGGCTGACGTGTGAAGTCTCTTCGGCCTTCACCTGTCCTCTGGACCAGCGGCTATTTTATAATGGTCTATATAAATAATAATTGATTGTTCTCTATATTATGCTTCCTTATGAACTGTAACTGCAGTTGAACTGTGTGTGTGTGTGTGTGTGTGTGTGTGTGTGTGTGTGTGTGTGTGTGTGTGTGTGTGTGTGTGTGTGTGTGTGTGTGTGTGTGTGTGTGTGTGTGTGTGTGTATTCCCTCACCCTGTTTGCTTGTATCCAATTATTGTTCACTCAGTCTGTCGTGTAATTGTTCTATTACATCGCTCTCACTCCTTTAATCTTGGAGTGTGTAAACCCATTATCAGTTTCTTACATTCAATTTGATCTGTGGGTGTGCTCAACATCTCCAAGCCATAATAATCTGAAATGCACCTTACATTTTTCGTTCTTAAAATGACACTTAAATGTCTTTCTTTGCTCAGGAGCAATAGGCTACATGCTTTTTACTTTTGAAACTGTCTTTTGAATAAAAGGGTTGAAGTTTTCCATTCTGACCCTGACCTTTGACCTCATGAGACAGAGAAGGGAGCTGGTTCCATAACTGGGGGGCGTTGCAGAATGGCCATATGTGACCAATGTTGGACAAATGTGGAGTGAAACCTAAGTTAAATAAATCATTTTCACAGCAGACATTCTGCAGTCAAACACCATTATAATCAATTACATTTGATATACATTACATTGCATTACATCTTAAAACAGAGCCTTGGTTGACAGTGTTTTTTCCACCTGTGTCGAAATGTTTGCTATGTAAAATGTCAGTGAATCTGATTATTTTAGGAACATAAAAAACAAGAATACTTTAATGGTTCTTTATTTGTTGGAGAGAATGGATGTGTTGTCAGGTGTATACAAAAGCGAAGCCACACTGACATTTAGATGGCATTGCCGGTAAAGGTGCCAGTGGATTTATGATGGCAGAGCCTGAAACCCTCTATGATTCATGTCTGGTGAGCCACAGTTAGCCTATTGCCAGCACACAACTTAACCTTCTAGTACATTTTGCCCACTCTTGTATATGTCAAAATGGCTTGGCTTGGATTGTATTTCAAGAATACTAAAACACATTTTCAGTAATTAGAGAATAGTGTTAAAATGACTACACTCAAAACTTTAATTTATCAGTGGTTAAGAGTTTGAGGCTAGAGTCTATAATTGTGTTGTCCTTTTGCTGATGAGAATCACTTAATTGTTCGTGCGACTATCATCATTTCATGCATAGAGGTCACTACAGTGGACAGCTATTCAAAAGGTGTTTTCTTGTATATGCATTGTTTCTTTTTGCATAGTTGCACCATCAGCCACATAGGACCCTATTGCATCATCCCATACACTGCCACTCAGTGCCAAGTCAGTGTAAGTGCATGATACATGTCTCTAAAACCAAGATGGACGACAGAAAGCCACATGGACCAAGTCACCCATCTATATCCTGCCAATCCTTTCATGGAAAGCGTCTCCTGCAAGTATAAAACATGTGGTGACATCAAGTAACAACTAAGGAATCATATAATTCATAAATTATCAAAGTATTGATGTTATGTTTGCAGGAAATCATGATTAACCACCTGTCCACTACAGTGGACGTCATGCATCACTGGCTATATTTCAACTACAATTCATACTGGTACTGCTGCTGTTGTTCCCAGGGCCGTCCCTCCCTACAGGCAGATCATGCAGACTGTGTGGGGCCTCACCTTGTGGAAGGGGCCACACCTTGCGGAGGGGGGCCTCATCTGAGGCGCACCTATGCGCTTATGTGGCGCAATTAGGGTGGCGCGGCACGGTTTCGCCGCTGCGAGGCTCCACTAGCACTCATCAAATAACTGTGCGTGGGGCCTCAAATTGGCCCCTGGCCCTGGTTATTCTTGAAAATACTTCATCTGCAATATCTATTTGGGCCGTAAATCAATATACTTGTGTTATTATAATGTAATTTTAAGTTTGCACATCTTTATTTATCATTTTTTCAAAATGTACATATCTTCAGTTCAAACCCTGAACGCATACTGTCAACCTGAGTGAACATGTAAACATCTCTTTGAAAAAACTAGATTAAAAAAAAAAAAGTTCAAATCTTGTTTTTCATGCACCAAGAGCAATAATAACACTTGGTAAAAAAAATCCTGACTGAGGCTTTCATAATTCATGCATGAAAGGGTTAAGGCCAAAACTAAAGACATTGTTGATGTAGATGACTATCTATACTAGATGACTGTCTGCAATGGCCTGTGAACTCAGAACTGTGCTTTGATGCCATCTGGTGGCCATGAGGAACTGAGGGACAAGTAGCCTGCCCTGACAAAACGACTGCCTGTGCCATTAAAAGTCAGTGTTCTGTTATTCTAAGGGCCTCTTGTATACAATGAAATGCTAAAGTACCAGAACCTCTGATGGTGGACATCTCACCATAAATACAACGTGAAAACAATGCACATTGGCATCTTCTCCTTTTAGGAAAACTCTGTAACATAGCTGTTTTTGGTTGTAGGCCTATGATTACAAACAAATACAGAAAAGCTATCCTGTAAATCAAGACGGTAGCTAGCTATAGATATGGGACTTCTAAAGTAATGGTTAGTGCTTGGCAACACTGGAAACTATAAACTCTAAGCTTGTTATGTCAGCATTTTTCTAAAGGATTAATGTGTTAAATGCGGTTGTGTGCTTTTCTAAATCTGTCTTGTGCGTCTCACAACAGTTTAACTAGACTTAAATGAACATGGAATTATGCAACACAAACACCTCTTGCCGTAAACACATGACCTGACACCGAAGCTTCCAGTGAAACACCATTTCCCAAAATGCACCGCGCGTTCTGGTGACATCCACGCTACGATGAGGTGAACGAACGGTTGTTTTCGTCTCCATGGTTGAAAGTAGCTGCCTATAAATCGAGGTTTTAACGGCTGTTACATCGGATTAACGAGGTGTCCCCGGCCCCGACTACCCCTGACATTACAGCCAGACTGAGGGTTTCATCCCCCGGGTCGTTTTCGATCACTTCCTCGCCATGTTATCATCGGTTCCCACCAGGCTCATTGCTCGAAGGTCGCGCAGCCTGTCACCGTGCAGCCGCGTCCTCCAGACCAGCGCGAGCGGTGCTGCGCGGCAGGGCACCCGGGAGAAACCGGCAGAGAACAACAGCAACCCCATCGTGTCCACCTCCCGGGTCTCCAGGAGGGGGATTTTAGCCGAGGACACCGCTGGTACCAGTGTGAACCCGGCGGTGCAGTACCACCATCTCGCCCCAAGATGGCTGTCCAACCTTGAGAACCGCCGCAACTCATGGGCGTCTCTGGCCGGCAGGGGACGCAACAACAACCACTATTGGGAGGAGAGCGGCGGAGGAGAGGGCCGGGGGACAGGAGGGGGAGCCGGCCGAGCAGGGGTGGCCTCTGCCGGGGTGCTTTCCGCTGCTGCCCTGGCCTTCTGCCTGAAGAAAGACTCTGATAACAAAGGTAGATTTTTTTGTAATCTTATTTATTCAAAAAAGTATATAAATATCATGCACAAAAACCTTGACATCAGTGGTACACATACATTTCAAAACAGAGGTACACTTTATCAGCTGTCATTGTGCTGTCTGACATAATTGTTTTGTCTTTTAGTTCAAGTGTTTTATTATCATATGTACAATAACTACTTGTTGGCTGTGAATATCTAAGGGTCCCACCAACTATGCAAAAAATAAATATGTATTAAAAATCACTGAAATAACATAATACTCTAATACATTAAATCATTAAGTTAAAAAAGGTACAACATAGCTTATTAACAAATAAATAAAAGTAAATGTAAATTTTAAAAAAAATTAAAAAAAGGTATAGTAGTATATGTAATATGTTAATGCTTAATGTATGTATGTATACACACAGAGAGGTGTAAACTATTGTAAAACAGTAAGTCAAATTTATATAAATGTAAAGTGTCAATGGTTAGTATAGTGAGTGTCAAGTGAGTTCAAGAGTCCAGCAGTCTGGCCTGCAGGGTTAAGCTGTTCCTGTGTACCAGACAGCAGCAGACCGAACAGTCTGGCTTTATTAGTGATCATTCACTTTGTATTAGAAAAAGGAAAGTAAATCGATGTCATTTATGGTCAGCAGCTTTTTGAACATTTTCTCAAAAGGCACAGTGTGTTATAATGGTCAATCAAATCAAATCAAGTTTTATTTGTATAGCACATTTATAAACGATTTTTGGTCGAGCCAAAGTGGTGTACATATAATAAAAAATAGCCTACAGTAGAGACACTTACAACGGCACAGATTGTTCAGAATATCAGTATGAGAAAACGACACCCTCTATCCTTAGACCCTCACATCGTACAAGGAAAAACTTCCAGAGAAAACCCGCAGTTTAAGGGGAAAAATGGGAGAAACCTCAGGAGAGCAACGGAGGAGGGATACCTCTCCCAGGACGGACAGACGTGCAATAGATGCCGTGTGTAAATCGAAGAGATAATACATTTTACAGCATATAGACCGAATGTTAGGAAAGGCATGTATCTGTAATAAGAAGATGAATCCACGAGGATGTCAGCTACAATCCTGTGGAAGCCATCAGGGAAGCAGCATGACGAGACCTAAGGCAGGACCGCAGAGACAGGTTCAGCCACGACCCGAAGTCCACAACTTAATCCAGAACTCAGGATAGAGGATCCAAGACACAGGACTACAGCAAGAGGATCAGCCTCGACCCCGGATCCCGGCGTAGATATCGATACAAAACAAGAAAAAAGATTTGGCTGGGTTAATCGGAACACAATGTGTGAATGTGAAGATGAACAGTATTGTCATCCCTTGTTTTATATTTGTGCTCAAGTTTTCTGTATCCTTCTTCTGTAATGTTTTTCCATTTATGTGTTTGCATAACAAGGTGATGCTCTTCTGGAGGCAGCGAGGACCAATAACTCTGAAGATGTTGCCAGGTACCCCTCCCCCCCCAAAAAAGCACACGCACACTTCAACACCTTGCACATGCATCATCGAGCACCATAACACAGAGACACATTATTGGCTCTCCGTTGTGAACCACATGATTTAAGGAGGCCTACTTTGTGTAGTAAGGGTGTTGTAGACATTAAATAAATGGCATGACAAGTGGCCAAATGTTGCCTTTTAAAAGACTATTCTACATGCCAGACAACAGCCATATACTACCTTTAATTTGTCATTATAGCAGTGATTGATATAATATTACTAACGCCATATGACTTGGATTTCGAGACATTAGTTTTATTGTTATATGTAATTGTAAAAATATTCAATTGGTACGCTAAATTGAATGGCTTACTTGGCAATCGTATCTAATAATGAAAGCCGTATCCCCTGCACCAATATGAACTGTCTTCATTCCAATGTATTGAGGCAGAATCTCCGCCTGGACTACAATTAACTAAATTCCCCTGAATAAAGAAATCATGTTGATTGAATCCAAATTGGGTTGTCACTGTTGACCTCTATTGGGCTCTGGTAAGAATATAATAGAAAGCCTTTATTTTAAATACCTGTCACACCGGTCATCTGCTGAAGCAACAGCGAGGATCATAAAAATCCAGTTTCACTTTCTGCTGTCCCGTTAAATACCACCAGGTGGAAGTAGAGGACCATCTTAGTGTGCGTGTGTGTTAGCAGGATGGATGTCACACTTAGCCACTCAGAACTCAATTCCCACAATTAGCCTTGATTTGTGTTTCATTCAAGCGTTTGAGATGTTTTTTTTCTTTTGCTTTGCTTTACCTTTTATTTATATTTTCTAACTCGCAGATTAAAATAGCATTTCTCCGAGTCTGTTCCAATTCCCCTGCACACTCAGAGACCGTCTACCAGAGCCACCCGAGAAAAGCCACGTCAGGCCTTTCTTTGTCCCATCTGTCCTGCTGATAATATATTACAAATTAAATTACATTACACTTCTTGAGTAACTGAGAACAGACAGAAGCTAACACGCTGTAGTCACACGTTTGGCGTATTGACGTTTTCCTTTTTTTTTCATTTGATTTGGCGGATCAGAGTAATTGGTTAGATAAAATACAGACAAACATCCCTCTTCATATTGGTGTATGGTTGGAGCAGTCATGCCCTGCGTAATAATTATGTTAATATGCGTGTGAAATCAGTGCTTGCCTTGTGTGTGTCACTGATGGTGTATCAGTGTACTGTACATTAGGGCAGCATACATGTGCTTATCCATGTGTGTCTCCATTTGCTGGCTTGGGTTACCTGTGGCAGATGGTGAAGGTGAGAGTACAGACGGACAGTCAGCAGCTCACAGATGTGTTAAGTGCTTTGGTTTAGTTTTATAGAAGTAATAGAGTGTCAGGGTGTGTCTGCTGAGAGGATGAGGAGACGATAGAGGTTTCGTTCTAACACTGAGCTTATAAAGCAGTTGTTCTATACCTGAAATATTATATAATCTTGAGATTGCAATTTAACAGTGGAAAGTGTATATGAAGTGGATTTTCTGTGAGACTAACGCTTTAGCTTTAAAAGCAGGTTCCACCAATCAGGGTTCATATAGTTAATTACAATGCTGACATTTCAGGAATGGAAGTATTAGCTCTTGTATTCTGTATTTTAAGATATGTAAAGGTTCAATTAGTTAATAGCTCCCCTCCAGTTGTCTTGCAGCCAAGCTTGTGAAACAGCATGTTGTCTCTGTGATCATACCCACATTAAAGAATTTTGTTAGGCTTGGTAAACCCATTCATAAGGTCTGGTTTCATTGCAGGATTTACAAAAATAATGGACACTCTGCTCACTCTCTCTGCCTCTTTTGAAGGCAACATTGACACCACAATATTGAAGTTTGGTTGAAGGGCGGGTTTGTCATATACATCTGTCAAACACTTGAAATATACAAAAAATGTCACCGAAAATACCTGAAGTGTCACTCTGTCTCTTGATGTAAACGCTTTCGGAGCACAGTCCATCTACACTGCTTCTCCATCTTATTCTGCCACGTCTTTGTGAAAGACTAAAGCTCTGACTTCCCACAATACCCCTTCTTTAAATGAACCTTTTTGTAAATAAATAGCTTAGTTTGAACAAACCTAAAAGAGTACTTTGCCCTAAAAAGCTTGGACATAGTTGTAGTGGTGAGCCTTTTCCTCTACCCAGACCCTGAAACTTCCCGCAGACCCTGCAGTGAAAACGGAGCCAGAGAGCTTCAGAGCTGAGTGCAGACCAGACTGAGGCCCCTGTGTTGACTGTAAACACACACACTGTCTGCCTGCTCAGCACATAAGGCGACAGAAGGATCACTTACACACACACACACACACACACACACACACACACACACACACACACACACACACACACACACACACACACACACACACACACACACACACACACACACACACTTTATAAGGATTGTGCCACTCCAGTGCCTGATGTCATACCCTCCGGCAGGAAACTCAACACACACCTGGCTAACATACAGACACATTAACTGGTCAAGGAGCAAGTGTGTGTGTGTTTGTGTGTCAGATAAAGACAAAGATATCGGGCTGGGTTCATGCTGGTGTGTCTAACAAGGCAGCTCTTCCATACAGTAACCCAAGCAGCTGGCAAGCCATATCTCCTGTTTTAACATATGGCCATTAACAAGTTCAATCTTTTCCTTATTTAAATGTGAACAAATACTTGTTCTTCCATCAGTAAACCTCTGTATGTGTTAAAATGTGAACAAAGCACTTAATTTCCTATTGATTTGGTACCATTGCTATATGGGCATTTGTTTCTGACGCCCTCTATAGGTCGTCATAATAACTACTTATGTTGGACAAAACATTTTCCCAGAAATAATTGTGATTATCATTTGATGTCTGTTTAAGACTATTTAATTCCACTGACGTAATGATCATACTACTAATGCAAGTACCCCTTTCCAATAATGTAATTGACTATTTGAATCCTAGGAATTATTATACATTTGAATCGGAACGTAAAAAATATATAAAATATAGTTATAGATAAAAGATAAATAAGATGCCCAAATCTATTAACGGTAGGAAAACCCCGCTGTTTATTCCGGGATTATGTTGTCGACATTCTTTTGTACACAAACACGCATGTAAACACAAAGGGGGTTGTCGATGTCAGCAAAAATGATCAAGGTCATGTTCATATATCGTACGATAAGTCAATAACATCATCATTATAACATGCCCTCTCTATATGTTGATATAACAGTGATGTTGAATTAAAACTACTTTTCGTTTCTTTTCCCATCAGGCTGGTGAAAGAGGGGGTCGATGCAAACCAACGCCACCGTCTCGGTTGGACCGCTCTCATGGTGGCTGCCATGAACCGCCAGCACAGGTCTGTGTGTTTCTGAGCAAATCATGTGTTTCTGAGTTCTGCGATGCCCTCTCTGGTGAGCATATGTAACAGTAATGTAGTGTTTTGGAAAAGGGCAGCTGTCTGCATGAGTTAGTGTGTGAGCATATGTCATCCGTGTCCCACTCTAGTTGTTACAGTCGGCCTTCAGAAGAGCAAAGTGCGAGTTTCAGACTGACAGACGGTCTTTCCACGTTCCCCCATCTCTCTGTCCAACAAATTAAATTAGCCTCCTGGCCCCCAGAACACACACAGCCCAGAGAGGGGCCGGGGTTAAGGCCGGGCCAAATCCAATTTACAGGCTTTTATTTTTTCTTCCATCACGACTGTGTGGTCACTTTTTTGTTTAACGGCCTAATGTGCCCGTGAGAAGCCCAATGTGAAACTCAAATATAAAAATAGTCTTCTTTAAATATAACGGTTAGTTGCTCCCTTCTTAAGAAATGGAAACAAGAAAGAAATGCAAGACACATTTAAACCTTAATGAGAATGTGAGAGGCAAAGCAAGTTTATTTATATAGCACTTTTCAACACAGGGCAATTCAAAGTGCTTTACAAAAATGAAAGACATTAAGAGCATAATACACATTAGAAACATTAAAAAATAAAACATGAATAACACAGGTACATGAATAAAAGTTACAGTGCAGTGTAAGATGTGAATAGTTCAATTAAAAGCAGCGGCAAAAAGAAAAGTCTTCAGCCTCAGAGAGGTGTTATGTTTCTGCATTGGAATTACATTACATTACATTGTAATTGATTTCATAGTTTAGATTTTTTATTATCAGTATTTATATTGATGTGTTCTTTTACTTACACAGTTATTGAAGTGCTTTAATTATTATTTGATCGACAGAAAAGTCATTTATGAGAATTGGTTGATAAATCAAGTCAATAATAATGAAAAAGGCCAAACAGTGTCTGGATCCAGCTCCTCAAATGTTAGAATCTGCTACTTTATATGATTTCAAAGTGGGTTTTTATTAGTTTGTCGTACATTTTTCAGAATCTTTTGTGACAGTAATCAATCAATGGTAAAAATGGATCTGTTAATTAAAGTAATTGTTAATTGCACTCACTTCTACTTACAATATTGTCTGTAACTCGTTCTCAGACACAGAAACAAAAATGTGCTTTCATTTTTCCCTTTTTGGTGATATTTGAGCTCCATTACATCTTTATAATTACACGACGAGTGCTGAGTGATAGTTGAGCGTAACATCTTGATGTATGTGTAATGTGTTTTTGGACACAAATGTGTGTTTGTGACTGTCTGTGTGTGCCCCTGCACTGTCCTTATAAAGTGTGTGTGTGCGTTATGAGTGCTATAACTCAGCGAGGCAGTGACACTCCTCTGTGTTTAATCCCGTCTTCTAACCCCCCAGTGAGCCGTCACTGCTGCAGGGAAGACAGAACATCGGTTCACACACATCAGTCATGCATGTCTCACTAACACACACACGCCCATAACCACACACACAAATGTGGATGCAGGTGGGAATGCACGCACAAAAACACACACAAAGACGAGGGGAGCTTATACCAAATATCTTACAGGCCAACTGCCTATTACTCAGTCACACACAACTTTATTTGCAGCCGTTAAGTGAAAACACAGCAAACATTGCTCATGAGCGCGGTCTAGCCTGTAGCTAGACTGTCAGCATGGACTGTTGAATAACTTCACCTCCCCCCTTACTGCGTATTTATTTGATCCCGGACCAGAAGTGGTAACAGTGTTTCTAGAGACCGAAGATTGACCAGAGCTGTTTCAGTGGAAGCTGAGGAGCTCGGTGTGTCGTCTCTGGTGCTCAGGGGTCGAGGTGCGGCTGTGAGAGAGAATCAGGGGTGGAGTAGAGGGCTGTGTGGAAGAATTAAGGGTGAGACATCGGGGGGCGTGTGTTTGCTTAGCTTTGATCTGGGGCTAAATCTGGGAGGCGCAGGGCCTGGCCCACTATTTGCACTCTTTAACACACAATACCCATCTCCATGTCTCTTTCTCTCCCTCCATCCCTCCCTCGCTGCTTTCACGTGCACAATGAGCGCTCAGCCGAGTGAAACGCCTGTTGACCGTTCCGACCTGTCGGCCGAGTGACTCGATGGGAGGCAGGGGGACGAGACGAGGGAAAGCGGAGGGATGATGGAACGAGAGGATGAGTGGCTCGTTGGGAAGCAGAGAAGAGAAAAGCTTAGAGGTGGAGAGAGAGTGATGTGGAGTGGGATTATGGATTTGGGACCGGGATTAGCTGGATTGAAAAGTGGGGGAAATATTCCTATCATTTGGTCACGATACAACATGATTGTGATGGTAAGCAGCCGGTTAAGTGACAGATCAAGCTGCCATACAGAAACGTTTCCTACACTTTGGTTCTCTGTACGCATTTCCTTAGGTGGGCCATTACAATATACAAAAACGTCAATGTTCTACCCTCAATACTAGCCTTTGTCACATTAAACATTTATCATTTTTAACATTTGTAAACTGGTCCCATTTTCAACAAATAAGTTATTCAAATGAAATTGTATTCATAAGAATACAATGCTGGAATTGAGGCATCTCCTCCTTGATGTTACAGCTACATACAGTAGCAACCATGCAATGATTAGGAGAACAATATCTGTTCAAAGTTGAACATGACCTTCAGCACAGAAAAATATTTCCACGGTTTTAGTGGTTCCAATTAAAAAAGTATGTTTCCTAAAAGCTTGAAAGGAGACCGGTCTTTGAAAACATGTGGCTATTTTATACAAGCTGTAATTGTTTCGATCTGCATTTCACACATATAATGGGCACCTTTATTACATTACATTACATGTCACTTGTTAGACGCTTTTATCCAAACGACTTACATACTCAATGCTGTGGGAGGAGCAATGTGGGGTGAAGTGTCTTGCCCAGGGACACAACGACATGCTGACTGCAGTGGGGTTTGAACCTGTGACCCCCTGATTCGAACACCAACGAACAACCCACTGCACCACACGCCTCCCCATTTATATACAATATATTATGACTTTGTTTTGTCGGAATGACACAGTCCATGGGAAAATCCAACCAAGCTAACTCATGCACATTTGCAACTATTTAAGGCATTAGCATCACAACGTCAAGTCAATTTTATATGTATAGCCGGATATCACAGATCTGACAGGCTCAGCCATTAGCCCTCAATTTAGACAAAAGAAAAATGGAAAATGGAGATATCCTCAGGAAGAGAAACAGATAAGGAAACTAAATGAATCTTGGACACACTTTAAAAAGAAATTCTTTGACCAATCGGGTTCTTTGGTTGGAATAAAAAAGAGCAGTGCGCCTCTCTTCTCTGACCCCAGCTGTGCAGGTGTGATGGGGTCAAGTGAGGTCCAGCGTCTGGGCCAGGTGGTCCGAGACATGGATGGTCAGTTCGGCTCAGGTGTCTATTATAGAACAGGACAGAAGGAAGTGCTCATTTCCTGTCTTCCCTCCAGGGCACGATGGGAAAATAACACCAGCCCCCGGCAGTATCACCGGTCACCTGCTGGCAAACCTCGGCACGCGCTGGAGGGTTGAATCTACCAGGAGCTTGTTAAGTGAGCATCGTCATTATTTCAAGCTTTTGATACAAGAGATGGATGGTGAGGTAGCTTGGGAACGTCCATTAATGTGTCCAAGTCTCAGGCATCTGTTGAAGTGTTCTCAAGCAAGACGCTGACTCCTGCTCAACTCCACTGTGATGCTTTGAAACATTTACGTAACACTTAAATCAATTTGATTTTACACTTAAAAGAAGGAAGAAATGCAAAGAAATAAAACACAAACATCAAGAAAGATTTAAAGCATGAGGGAAGGGAACATATAAGTTAAGGATGTTAAGCTTACATCCACAGAGGGTCACGACAACGGACACAACGAAAAAAGCGACACGTTTGGGACACGGTTGTTAAGTCAGCAGCTAGATTCTTATTTATTTGACACTTTTATGTTTCAGTCTAGCTAAAAATGTAAAATGCTGTAATTTACAGATGTTTTAGAAGTTTGTAAATGTAACTTTTGGCCCACTCCTTTTTAAATAGGCGTGTAACCTAATTAACCCCTGCATGCCTTCAGTTTGGCCTTAAATGAGTGCTGCAGCTCTCCTCCTGAAGGTCCCAAATAAAGTTAGCCACTTGATCATCAGTTGATTAGTTAAACCATCAACTGTTTTCAAAAGCTCATTAGTTTTAGCACTTTCCTGTATAATTAAATCTCCCTCTGTCACCAGTCCTCCTCCTCTCTGCAGTTTTCCTCTCTTTATCCCTCCGTGTTTACCTTTCTGATGCCATTAACTCTTTTCAGACCGTCTCATTCCCTCACACAGTCCTGCCCAGCCTCGTGTGACCAACCTTAGTTTGGGTTTGTGTGTATGTGTCTCGCAGGATGCATCGAGGTGTTTGTAGAAGTGCTTGCAAGGGTGAGAGGAGAGCCCTCTGTGGGTCACGGCCCCCCTGCTGCCCCCAGCCACAGTGATACAGTAACAAAAGGGGACCCCCCGATAGTCCTTTATACCCCCTCAGCAAGGTCAGACACAAAGACCTGGCCGGCCTGTTCTCAGCTCTCCGCTCCCACAGGAACATGTAGTTACTAAACCAGCAGCAAGATGGGCAGCAATTCTATATCATTCTGTCTGTGATTTGTTTGACTGATATATTGGAATCACGTGTTCGTACGGCACACTGTACTTTGGTTTTTGAGCCTGTACTGGTACCCCAAAGAACATTTTTCTAATCTTCTATTTAGGGCTTGTACTGTTATTTGACACATTATGTTCATTTCATTAACTATTTTGATAATCCATTGACAATTCCAGTGGTTTTTTCAGCACAAATGCCAGAAAAGTACTGGTTCCAGTTTCTCAAACCTGTGTCTTGCTTTTTTGACCATATCTTGATATTATCATTTAAGTAGACTAAGTATCTTTGGGTGTGGACTGTAAGTCGAATGATAGAGTATATTTGAATACACCTCAGGCTCCTGCAAATAACATTTGGCAATTTTTCACAGTTTCTGCTAAATATTACTTTTTAAGAATCTTAAAAATTGCAGATTTGTCTTTAGTGAGAAAAATAATTGCTAACCTAATTCCAATTACTGATGCATACCTAAAATACTTAACTGCTTCTGTTATTGTTTGATGTTATTAATACATTTTGCGTAAAAATATCCAGGTGTATTTTTCTTTTAGAACCATTACTTTATAATGCAATTGCTCTAATTTCACACCTCACTTTTAAATTGACTGTCTAATATCAGAGTTGATGCACCAAGTCTCTCCATAATTCCTGAGGTCATATCTCCTGTCAATACTCATCTTTAACAGCAGAGCTTCTCCTAAACGAGAGCTGTATCTGGTTTCTTGCTCAAGTGTAGTTGCTCTGAAAAAGAGGTCCATCTCATCCTCCTATGAATAATCATTTTGCTCCATTTAAACCCTCTCAGGCCTCCTGCCATAACCATTTATCTGAAAATGATCCATCACTCCCTCCCAGGCTGCATTACACAGTCACAGGTTTAATGGCAGCCAGCAGCGAACTGGCAGGGTTCATGTTTCGGCCATCGCCCCCGCTCCCGCTCTCATTGGGCGCAGACTCGTTTTTTGTGTGTATTCTGTGTCTCAATGTCAAAGCCATTGCACACGTTCATGGTGGTAAATGTAAAGTGTGTGTTTGTGTGTGTGGGGGAGTGTGTTCTGTAGGCGGAGAGACGGTACCTGGAATGTCCGTTGGGTCACAGTGAGTGGTGTTGCCGAGGTTCTCGTGTTTGTTCTATAAGGCGGTACGCTCCAATGAAGTGCTACATAAAAACACACAGCTCCCCCCCAAAAAGGCGCCGGAAACAGGCCCGACCCTTGCCCCCCTCAATGTACACATATGTACATGTTACAAAGCAGACGACTAGAAGTGAATGAGGGGAGCGGCCATTGGGGTGTATCCACCATAACGGGACGGAGTAGAAATGGAAGTCAATCAGGTGGAAGAGTCGCGGTCAATTGAGGAATTATTTGCATCTGCGTGTTTGTTTTCAAGCTGTGAGCGTGTGAGAAACTTCGTTAAAGAGTCGAAGTTATGTTTGGTGACTTATAGGAAACAAGTCTCCTACAAGTCCTCAATCCAGTCTGCATTCTACTTCCTGTTACCTAAGCTAAGGAAAAGTAAGATTTGAACAGAGTTGGGGAATTATAGAACACAAACTGTGAGATGATTACACTAAGGTAGCTATCCCTTTAATATGTTTGGTTGTATGAGGCCACTGAGGGCACTACTGTAAATGAGAAAGTTGTTTTACGACAATATTGGATTTACAATATTTTTGCATAAATGTGATGAATAACTTTCATTTGTTTTTAATTCACTAGAGTCACCAAAAACGGGAGACCCTCTGATACTTCATCTATAAACTGTTTTCTTAATAGGATTCCCAGAACATGTGCTATATAAATTGTAGATAAAACAGTATAAATGTACATATTTTGGGATAGAAGATACTGTCCATATTGCCGTCCCATAGACCTGATTACATCTTTGCTGTAAAGGCAGGGTCATTACTGAGGAAGGGCTTGGTCTGTGTTCATGTGTGCAGAGATATATAACACACGATGTAGGCAGGATAATTACTCGGTTTAAATGTGTGTCTTTGTCTTTTGTTGTGTGTTTTAGTGTGGTGAAGGTTCTGCTCGCAGCCGGTGCCGACCCAAACGCAGGAGATGATTTCAACAACGTTTACGACACCTCGAGGGAGAAAGGCATCCACTCACTGGAAGGTAAAGAAAACACACATTTCCCCTCTGCGCATCCATCACGTGTGTGTGTGTGTGGTTTCTATATTACAGATATGAATCCCAAAGTGTTGAACTAGATATTATGAGACATTATAATTTGCATACACATTTGCATATGTACATGCTTCATTTCTTCTGTATTATTTATTTGATATGTTCTGTGACAAGTAGCTGTGTGTTTTATTTGTTTTTCCTCCACACACAGGCGGTAGCACACACACACTATACCCCCCCCCCCCCCCCCCCAGTCTGTGTTGGGTTTCTGCAGACATATTTATATGGGATATGTATATTGCAGACATTTATATGGCTGTCAGGTTTGGGTCCACGTGGGGCCGGCGTAGCGTGGGGAAGCGTTTCCCAGACGCAGGCTGATGGATGGGCTAGGGGGGCCTGTGCGACGCTTTATTGGGTTAGCTATGATTATCCCGCCCTGTCTCTCTCTCTCTCACACACACACACACACACACACACACACACATGCAGAGACACTGCAGAGAGAGACCGTCGTAGAGATGGAGAAAAAGAGTGGGATGGATGGAGGAAGGGAAAGACTGATGAAGGAAGGAGAAAAGAAAGGAGAGAAGGCAGGGGAAAGAGGGTGAGGGAAGATTGTAGGGAGCAGCTGGAGATGAGCTTGAAGATGGAGGAGAAGGAGGAAGATGTGGCTGTTAGAAAGGTTGATAGAGGGAGGGAGGGATTGAAGGAAATGGGTGGCATGAAGAGGAAGGGAGAGGCGAGGAAGTCAGGAAATGGATGAGACAAAGTTATTGGGATAGAAGGAGTGGGGGGGAGGAAGAGGGTGCGAGTGATGAAAGGAATTGATGAGGAAGAAGGCGGAAAAAATAAGAATGGATGATGGAGTAGTGGCACGAGATGAGTGCTCTTATGAAAAAGAGAAGTAAGGGGAGAATGATAGACTATCTCTATTATTTGGAAGGAGCGCAGCAAACGAGACCCTAAAACACAACTCACATTATTCCTATCATGTCGGACAGCTGAGCTTAAATCTGTGAAAATGAACAACTCCTCCAACGCTGGAAACAGGAAAGACAATTTTGTGTGCCGCGGTGTTATCACTGACACACTTTCTGGAGCATCACCAATCACCATTGACTGTGAATGGATTAAAGAAGGTTATTACACATTTAAGGGCTAAAACATTTCCAGTTAAGGTTGTTAGTAAATTCATCATACTAATGTCTCCAGCTCCACAAAGTTTCCTGGTTGCATCTCATATGGGAGTTGTGCCTATTCTATTTCCATCTTTGAGATTCAAATGCATTTTTTAACCCAACTCATCGTGCTTGAAATGTAGTTTTTGTGTGTCTTTGTCAACCAGTGTCTTTTCTTCGTATATTTCTTGTGTCTCCTTCATGTATCGTTCTCTGTCTGTCTCCACAGTGCTGGTGTCCAGAGAGGATGAGTTCAGCAGCAGGCTCAGCAGCAGGGCGGGTTTCCGTGGCTGCACAGCGCTTCACTACGCCACGCTGACAGATGACCCCCGCACCGTCCGCATGCTGCTGGAGTCTGGTACGTAAAACCTTACCGACCCATCACTCACCCAACTTTAGAGTCAATGGGTGACCTCTGTGGGTTTGGATCTATCTTAGGAACACATCATCTGCAGTTTTACCTCATGTTGGTATGAAGTGCTTCTCTAATATTGAACAAAACCAAAATAGTGAAAATCTATAGCCGAGTTATAAAAGTGTTCTTGACTATGTCTCTGATTCATGTTACTCATTCAGTTGTATTCCTGTATTTTATCTAGTGTGCAAACATTGAAAACATGCATCTGTCCAGCACCTAGTATATATTGCCTAGATGTGTGTGCTTTTGTATAAAAACTAGTACAACTATTTGTTTCCAGTCCTCATTAAGGCCTCTTGGTTTTCATATGGTGTTATTTAGATGTTGGCCTTTACACTGGTTTGTGTCTTCTTAACCGCTTTTAAGGGATAACATTGTTCCTGTATTGTGAATCAATGTCCAAGAATTACTTATTTTTCGGGGCAATTTATTAATTGAAGGAAACAAATGACTAATTCAAGGGCACCTGTTTCATCACGACACACGCCATACTCCTTACCTTGATCTTTTCTATACAAAGTAAATGGTTTTCATCTGCCCTTAAGAGCTGTAGGCAGTATCGTCTCCTTCAGCTTTAAAAAGCGCTCCATGTATCATCATCTTAACGCTTCCACCCCCGAGTAATATAAACAGTATTACAAAGCTCATTTGAAATTGATCACTCGTTCATACCCCCTCTCCATTCACCCCCCATTACACTCGCACCTGTCGTTGACTCAGCTCCACACACACACACACACACGTGCACACACACACACACACACACACACACACACACACACACACACTGTTACACCCTCAGGGCAGAGTATCCCCCTCAGTTTCCAGGCGAGCAGCTCTTAAACAAGCCAGGCCTAGTTGAACTGTGACCTGCGCTCAGAACATGCCCTTGGGGTAACTCCACAATCACAGGATGTGTGTGTGTGTGTGTGTGTGTGTGTGTGTGTCTTTTCAGTGAGTTCATATGTATGCTTGTGCACTCAAGTGTCCATCTTATTTATTAAAATATTCATGTATGCTTTTATCCTTTTGATATGTTTGATATGTTTTTGAATCATAAATTGGGGATGCATTTGTAGTTTTAGGTTGTTAGGCTGATATCTTTTTAATCTAAAAGCATTTTTCCATTTGTTTTGGATCAAACATCCCAACCACCATTACTATGCAGACAAACACACACACACACACAGTATTAATGTCTTGTTTATGTTTATGATGGATGGTGCATCCAAAGGCTCTGTCTGCCCGTCTCACCCCTGCGTCAGTAAGCACTCCGTACGCTTAAACAAATCACTTCGCCTAACTCGATCAAATGTTCTGCAGACGCATTTTTGAATTAAAAAGGTAAGAAATTTCACAAAGCAGAGGCATTTGTTTTAAGCCAATTTGATTAAAGACAGGGCGGGCTTTTGTTCGCCAGGCTGGGTTTTTTGCCTGTTTGGCGCCACCATCACGGGGAATAACAATCATGACATCACCAACGCATCGCTGTTCATGTGTGATTCTGTGTGATTGGGTGCATAATAATAGACTTTAATACAAGTTTTTAATGTATTGGACTATTCTTGACAAAACTGAATTTGTATGGTCTTTTATCTTAACTTCCCTACTCTTTGAGGCCTGCTATCAATCTTGTTAAACATCATAACAAAAAATCGTATAAACTGCCACAGCTTCAGGACATTATGTGGATTACGGTGTGTCTCATTGTGGCTTCATGTATGTGCAAAATGTGTGTGTCTGTATGGAGTGGTGTGTATCCTTTATCTTGTTATTTCCCTTGTGCTTGCATGCGACCATGTTACTCCACCAGTCCTGGGTTTGCTCTTTTGGCCTTAGCCGGCCCTCGACTCACATCTCCATCCATCACAGTCTCCAGGTCCCCCCTCGGGCCCCTCCTCGCCCCACGGTCCCTCGCCCTACCTGCCGAGGGTCTCTAGACTCTCCCCAGGCCCCGCATCAGGCCCGTGGCCACAGGCACTCAGTAATGGACGGCTCTGTAGGTGGTAGGAGGCCAGAGGAGACACACAGGCTCACAGACACGCACAATACCGATATAAAGACACACACACACACACACACACAAAGACCAGCAGGGGCTCTCTCCCACCAGCTGCAGTGAAAGAGAGGGAGGAGGAAATAGGAAAGAGGAGGGGACTCCTAATAGGCATAACTAAAGCACTCCTAATGAAGGGATCCTGTGTGTGTGTGTGTGTGTGTGTGTGTGTGTGTGTGTGTGTGTGTGTGTGTGTGTGTGTGTGTGTGTGTGTGTGTGTGTGTGTGTGTGTGTGTGTGTGTGTGTGTGTGTGTGTGTGTGTGTGGTGTGTGTGTGTGTGTGTGTGTGTGTGTGTGTGTGTGTGTGTGTGTGTGTGTGTGTGTGTGTGTGTGTGTGTGTGTGTGTGTGTGTGTGTGTGTGTGTGTGTGTGTGTGTCATTAGTGTTGATCCTGTTATAAAGTGCCATGGCCCAGAGGGGTGGCCTGATATTAAAGCCCTAAATGATGCTATTTATTATGTCCAGTGAGTGTGTGTGTGTGTGTATTTTATTGCTTTCCTCCCTCTTGTTTTTGTTGGGGGGTGGGGGGCTAGTGGTGTATTGTTGGCGGGATCGATAGCTTTGTGAGCAGGTAACACATTTTAGGCGTTTATCGATAATCATCACAGTGATTATCTTTGCGCTTGGTGCTCAGAACAACAGGAACAACTGGCATCGGCAATGATCACATACACTGTTACAGTTTACCTAAAAGTAGCTGTGGAACCCCAGGTGGCTCATCTGATTCTCAATGCACCATATAACAATCATTTCGTTTTTGGATGGGTCAGACTTTTGGACCAATTACAGGAAGTTATGGCCTGCTATTGTCAGAACAAGAAGATACAAAAAGGACGAAACAAAATGAGCCGCAGGAGCACACAGCAACCGGGGGATACCGAATGTTAAATTGACTTTCGGTCTGGCAACTTCACAAAACGCTCACAAAAATCACACACTTTCCAATATTCAACAATGCCTACAAACCAGTCAACTGCAACCACAACAAGCCAAATCAAATGTATACCATATAAGACAAACTGGAACCACAGTAGGTTTTATTCTAAGGCCTCACACTAGTTGAGTTTATTTGAGTGTGACTTTGAAAAAATATTGATAGCTGATGCTATTTTGGTTGCTACCAGAAAAGTGTTAAAGTCACAGGATTGCAGATGGGTACGTGTGGGCTGTCAATAATCTACTGTAGACCTCCAATACACATTTGTAATATTTTACAGTTTGTTACAAAAATACTGCTTTCCTAAGGATTTTCGTTTCATTGTTATTGCATAGCTGATGCGATGGAAACAGTCACTTGTTCGTGTGTGTGTGTGTGTGTGTGTGTGTGTGTGTGTGTGTGTGTGTGTGTGTGTGTGTGTGTGTGTGTGTGTGTGTGTGTGTGTGTGTGTGTGTGTGGTGTGGTGGCACAGGTCAGGGCAGAAGGCACTGCTAACCACACTTCACACGTGCCCCTGTGACATGGTTCTTCATCTTTTATACTCCGACGCTTTAAAGATCCATTTAACACCATTTTGCACCGTTTGACCCCTCCTGCTGTGTAAAGTGTGTGTTGTGTGTGAGTCAATGGCCCCCCACCTGCAACAACCTGCAGTGTGTATAGATTGTATAATAACCCAGGGTGGAGGTGTGCGGATGTAGGGGTCAAAGTGTGTGTTAAAGGCACGCGTTGCAGATATGAAGCCCCCTGCAGTGTCATTGCATCGCCCTCCCGCTTCACTGCAGTTAGTCTCAGTGACCCCTGAACCCATGTGACCTCTCACCCCTAACCTCACTCTCTCCATCGACGTTTTGACCCTCCTGCTGAGGTGATGTGTATAATATTATAGTACTAACGGCAGAAAGTAAGGGCGTTATTTTTTTCTTTAAACGATGCCCTTCTGTTAGTTTGAACCTTTTTGATGAGTAGATATGAATAATTAGATTATTTGTTCTCATTTATGACCTGTGTGTGTTGTTTGCTTGCATACAGGTGCCAACCCCCTGCAGACCAATGGTTTGGGACACACAGCGCGGGCCTATGCCAAGGATGGAGAAGTGAGCACAGTACTGACGGAGTTTGAGGCGAAGGTATGACACACTCGTACGCACACAAACTCTTCATTTTGTTCTTCCGTACAAGCTGTGCAGAATGAGCAAGCAATTAAAACAACATTAGTTTCCATGCACACCAATGTTTTGATACTGTACTTGTTTCCTGTCCCTGAATGACTTGGCACTATTCACCCAGAAGACATCTGGGTCATTTACTTGCCTTCATGCACACAGACGCACACTCCTCAGGAGGTCTGTGTCACTGCGCTGACTGAGTGGCAGGTGCTATTGAGGATCACATTTGTGAAAGCCGGTAAAGGTTAACTGAGGTTAAAAACATTGACTAAGCAGTAAAGTGAGATTATAAATCAACTCTATATAAGTACTGATACATAACCTGGAATTTGACGCACATACAAGCTGCATTTGTAATATCTTCTAGTGTCTAAATTTGTCTCCAAAATAGTTATTGATCTCAAAATATCTGGTCATAAATATAGTAATAAAATAACCTGAGATGGATGGAGATCTGATTGCACATATTATCGCATTAACATCCTCAATGCTTTACCAATACACTTGAGAAAACTGTGGGGAAAAAAAGCTCTTGTTTTTTGGATAGTTAAATTGCGATTGAAATGTAATTGAGTGTGATCTTCAGGCTTTAGGTTTAAACTAAACTGCTATAGAATCATCTGACTGCAGGGACTCCTCTCAGCTCTTAGTATTTTACAGGTGTATCGCAGCAGAGGTAGGGTCAGCTGTTTTTCTTAAATAAAACTGGAGTTACCCGAAGTTATCTAGCAGCGTGACAGCAGGCCAGAGCTAAGCAAGATGGAGCGAGAGAATAAACAGCCTGCCTCCACTGCAGGGTGCAAACTTGGAGTCTGAGGACACAAAGAGGAGAGGATGAATGAGTCAGGGGGCTTCAAGACAGATACTAAGGGGGGAGTTTACGGGAAAGTAAAGGGAAGATCTGAGCAGAGCAGGAGAGGTAGAAAGAGATCAAATCAACAGAAAAGAGGGCATTTGTTTTAGAGAAATGAAGGCACTGTGATTAAGAAAAGGGAGAAACGGCTTAACTGTTGCATTAAGAAGGGTTTCTAAATGAGATGTTTTCAGTGATAGCTTTGCAGCATTCAGATGTTCTTGTTTATGTGTCCTTTGTAGTGGAAATGGTAGTGGCAAAAAGGACAAGATGATGATAAACAGAGGGAAGAGTGAAGAGGGACATCCTCCAAAACACTTGAATGTCCTCGTGTTTTTTCCCTTTAGTGAATTTCCTTACATGTCTCCCTTTCCTTTTCTTCATCGAGTGTCTCATCTGTTTTCCCAATGTCCGTCTTCTTGTCTCCGTGCAGTTCCAGGAGGTGCAGGCTCGGCGCGAGGCGGCGGAGAGGCGGAGGTTCCCCCTGGAGAGGAGGCTGAAGGAGTACATCATCGGACAGGAGGGGGCCATCAATACTGTGGCCTCAGGTAAACACACACACACACCTCAAAGTATTATAAAGACATGCTTTTAAGCCACAGCCGCGCTTCCACGCCTTTTTGTTTTCCTTTCTATATTTTCTGTCTCCCATGTTTCTGTTTTGCACTCCCCTCGTTTTCCTCCCTCTCCCTTCCTTCCCACAGTAGGCGGGCTCAGACAGACCGGCGGAGGCTGTAATTGGTTAATTGTGATGAATGAGCTGTCTGTCAGGCATACACAGGTGCTGTGTGCATGTGTGTGTGTGTGTGTGTTTGTGCGTGTGACAGCTGAGGAGGCCAGGCTTGGAGCCGCCAGTTAACACGATTACAGAGAGAGGAGACATACTACAGACCCCCTCCTCCTCTCTTCTCTCCCTCTTTCTGCCCCCCCTCTCCTCAGTTTCTCCCTCCATCTCTCTCTCATTACCCCCTAGATCTTCATCCCACCCACTATTCCTCCTTCACCTTTCCGTCATCGTTCGTCCATGCTGTGCCCTCCATTTCCCTTCCTCAAAACGCACAGGGATGGAGAGGCGGAAGGCAATGAGATGGAGACAGGAAGTGGAAAGCAGATGAGACCCAGGGTAAAACAAATAGAGGGAGACAAAAAAAATAGATGATGGGAGGAGGATAGCAGAGATGTGCCGAGAAGCACAAAGCATCGACGGAGAGAGCGAGTGTAATGCATAGAGAAGAGGAGGGAGGATGAGTTAGAGCACAATAACCCAGCAGACAGTAAAGAGCTGATATTACACCAGGCATCCACGGAGGCCATGTATTGATCTGTGTGTGTGTGTGTGTGTGGTGTGTGTGTGTGTGTGTGTGTGTGGTGTGTGTGTGTGTGTGTGTGTGTGTGTGTGTGTGTGTGTGTGTGTGTGTGTGTGTGTGTGTGTGTGTGTGTGTGTGTGTGTGTGTGTGTGTGTGTGTGTGTGTGTGTGTGTGTGTGTGTGTGTGTGTGTGTGTGTGTGTGTGTGTGTGAAGTAAGGGCTCTGCAGCAAAGAATGAGGCTGTGCGTTATTTTTATGATCCTGGACAGATTTGTGAAAATAATCAACTCACTCCCAAAGCTACAATCGGATATTATAATCTCTAATATTATTCCGTGCGAGCAAATACTGCAGAGTTTATAGCCAACAGGAGAACAACTTGGATTTTATCCTCCAAACATAAAAAAATGTGTATACATAACTACAATTATTAACATCCAAACTAAAGCTTCTGAAAATACAAACTGCTATTTGAGCAATAGTTACGTTCTTGGAAGAGGGAATCGTGGGAATTCTAGTCTTTGGCAAGGTGATGAATGATTGTTGTTATGGTGGCAAATTGTCTTGAAAGCCATAGAAGACGTCGCCGCAGTGATAAAGGAACAGCTTATTGATCTCTGAGAAGTATTACAGTGAATATATCTCTCACACACACACACACACACACACACACACACACACACACACATTGAACGCAAGGAGAGGGATGCCTTAAAGAGGCCGGAAGCACATGGAGAATTAATCTACAAATAATTTGTACATGTTGTGTTATGTGCTATTTTGTCAGTTTATCAAAGATGAGCCGAGCAGGAATGAGTCAGAGAGGAAGTAGAGATTTAGAGATGAGGAGATGGGCCAGGATGAGCGGAAGGGATATACTGAGACAACAAATGAGAAAGAGATGCACAGATAACGAGAGCTGCACAGGACCAGAGTATGTCAATGAAGAAGCAACCTATACAACAATGTGTTTTATTATAAATATTGAATTATAAGAGTGATACAATTAGTGAAAAGCTCCTCTTATGCCACCCATCATTCTGTAAAAGCAACACAAAAAAGATACCAATGAGAGGTTTTGAAATTGCAAATATTAAGTTAACAATTATATGATTTAGTTAAAAAGAAAAAAAGTATCACGTATAATGGAAAAAACTATTAATTGTTAAAAGTTCTTGATGCTTTGATTTATGATGAACTATCGACCATGACTTATACACTAATTGTTTTTATATCTAAATGTATCCATTTAGCAAACCACTTGGGAAGAAATTGTTTTTTTTTCATATCTGGCATTTGGTGTGTTGTCATGGCTCCAAAACTGCTGTTTCCTCCTGAACTCCTCATGACAAACAGCTGGCCTGAAGCAAGATATACACACACACACACACTCACACACACACACACACACACTCACACAGGAAGGAGGTTAGATTGATCCAGGTTTAGCTCTCAGGGCTAAGAGTTATTGAGGAGAATCATCCCTCTGTAATCATGTTAGAGCCAACCAGACCTGCCCAACACACACTGCTGTGTGTGTGTGTGTGTGTGTGTGTGTGTGTGTGTGTGTGTGTGTGTGTGTGTGTGTGTGTGTGTGTGTGTGTGTGTGTGTGTGTGTGTGTGTGTGTGTGTGTGTGTGTGTGTGTGTGTGTGTGTGTGTGAGAGATAGAGAGAGAGAGAGAGCGCAAGCTTTCATTTGTTTTTGTGTCTCCTTCCTTTCCTTGTTGTTGTCGTGAGGGTCCTCTGAGAAATGTCAATGTGCCCTTCTGTCAAAGTCGGTCTCAATCAGCTAAAATACACACACACACACACACACACACACACACACACACACACACAGAAGGTTACGCTGTCATTCACACAGTCATTGATAAAGCAGACGGAGCTTTGGAGCCCCTCTTGTCACTATTCATCTCTGTGTCCATCTCTGACACACTCATTTGTTTCTCTGTCTCCTTATCTCCATCACTTCTCTCTCTTTCCTCTCTTTATCTCCTACATCCTTACTCCTCTCTCCTCTCCTTATCTTCGCTCCTCATGCTGCTCCCCTCTCTCCCATCGTCTTTCTAGCTCCCTCTCCTTCTCCCCTCGTGCCAAGAATCTGCTCTTAATGATTATCAGCTATTAGAAGCTACTTTAACACTCACAACTGGTGTGTGTCGTGAAGTATTTTAGCTTCACTGCATCACACACAGCCTCTTGGATTTCAAAATGTGAGCAGGAAAGTTCTCATCGTCTTGGAAAAGATGCTCTTTGACAGGACATAATACTGTGGCTGTTGAAGTGTAACTCAAGTTGTGGTTCCTCTGTTCTCTTTAGCGACTTGGCCACAGCGTTCTCCTGCCACTTATGTTCTGGCTGCACTCGATAACTTGCCAAGAAATCGACACCTCTCAGATGCAATATTCTAGCTTGTTATCTTCAACTGAGATGCTAACTGTAAGATCTTTATGTTGAGAACAGATGCCAGTAGTTGTTAAGGCAACAACAAGTTAGGAAGAATGCATGATGGGTGTGTGAAGACTTGTCAAAGGGCAGACCAATAAGGACAAATGTCGAATCATTTTACCACGCAGTTAAATCTCCACCAGTGTTTTTGGGTTAAGACTTGAACAAGATTGTGTTGTCACTTGTTAGATTCAAACAGGTCAGGATTCGAGATGGAAAGACTTGTAGGACCTTTTTTAAATGCTAACATTTATAACCAGAGGTAAAACTGTTATATTAAAAACCATACTATATTTGTACTGTACTTTTAGATCATTTGGCTTTTTTAATGAACATAGGTTTGATGGATAGGGCTGGGGGTTCATGTAGCATTGATATTGTTTTATACATATTATTTAAATATTATACATTTCTAAAGCTAAACAAAGTTTGCACTATGGAGGGGTTTTAAAGACTGGAAAAGCGCTATGAACGCAGTCCATTTACCGTTTGAACTCCATTTGATGTACCTTGAGCCTTTTGAGTTGTTTTCCACCCAAAAACCACAAGAAATTCAAGTTAAATGTATTGGTAACACGAAATATAAAAGGTTCTCTGGACTATAAGAATAATCACAGACCCACATCAAGTGCTAAATAAAGTAAATACCAGCTCTGCAGCAGCAGTTGCACTCAGAGGTGGATTCACAGACCATACCGTGGACATTTTAACTTACCCAGTGGCACAATCAGGACACATCCAACAATATTTTGTATCCCTGCTCATCAGTTTGGGGGTTAAAGCGCTCTGAACAGATGGAGAGTCTTTTTCAAGGCAAACACAGTCAGACATCCATACCTATGAGCAATTTAGAGTTTGGACTGTGCGAGGCCTCAGCCTGCCAGAGGATTCAAACCTTGAGCCTTTTAGCGCAATGCCACCAATAAACTACGGACCTGCTATCATCCAAACCCTGCCCGTATACGGCTCTGCTTTTGGCCCGGACCTCTCAACAGCTTCAGGTTTGGATGAGTTCCTGCTAGTGTCTGCTTCTCCGTGGAGAGGCTGAAACAACGGGCCAAATACACTCTTTACTCGCCTCGGATCCACCTCATCATCTCGTCTTTGTGCATGTGTGTGAGTGTGGTTGCTGGGGTGATGGCAGGGTTGGGTAGGCACTCCTCTTTAAGCAAGCGTGTGTGTCTGTGTGTGTGTGAGGCTGCGATCCATGCTAAACTGATTTCACCATGGCCGCGCCAGGGAGGCTAACACAATTACTGCTGGCTAATGGCCCCACTGACTGAGGGGGGAAGAGAGGCAGCGTGGGTAGCTTTCTGGAGGTCTCTCATCTTGCTCTCCTGCTCTGTTTTCTCTCTTCTGTCTCCCTTTTTCTGTCTCTCGCTCAAATGTCTTGACCCTTTTCTCATCCCTGCTCTCTCACTCTTTTATCATAGTTTCTGGGATACCCGTCGCCCTCGGGTCAACTCGGTTCAGTCTGGAGAAACTCAGAATACTGAGTGCAAAGGCAAATAAATGAGATAATAGTGTTCTGCCTCTCTGTGTTTCTGCAGCCATCAGGAGGAAGGAGAATGGTTGGTACGACGAAGAGCATCCTCTCGTATTCCTCTTCCTCGGCTCATCAGGAATCGGTAAATCACTCTCATCTTTCACACCAAGCACTTCCTCTCTGTCGTTTTATCTCATGAAAAAAAAGCACTCTCTTGAAAGTAGCTGCCAAAATAAACAGAACACTCGAGCAAGTTGAGTTTCTGAAGTTCGTTGAATGCTCGCGGAGTGTATTTTCCTCCTGACAGACTACTGATTTCAATAGAAACAGAATACACAAGACTACAAAAGCACACGGTGCAATGTTAACACAAATTAGAGAAACTATCAAGCGTTCAGTGAAGGGGGTTGTTTTCGAAGAATCCTATTTACTCAGTGAAACAAAATACGAATTTAAGCAACATTTTTGACTGTTTATTACATATTCATTTTTAACAAATGAATTGCAAATATCTGTTTCGAAAAAGAAGGGCCTCATTTGAGTTAATGAAGACAAACAACTAAAACAATTTTTCAAAGGTCGTTCCTTCTTGATCTACGTGCTGAACTATTCCTATAGTCAACACACTAAGAGGTTTTATTACATTCAACAGGCCATTTATGCGTTCAACAGTTTGGATAGGAAAGTAATGACATCATGAATAAGTTAAATGTATTCTATTGTTAGATGTCATCTACATTAGCAGTTGGTAACAAAAGCGACTATACACTGGCAGTGTCACCTGATTTAGTCCCGCCCACACGTCTGTGATTGGCTCCCTTGTTTCTCAACCAATTTCCCTTAAGGGGTAATAAAGCTGATCATCAATCCATTTCCAACTGGAGACCATCTTGAATCACTGAAAACCATTGATGGGCCGCAATTCTGAGGTCATGAACCTGGCTTTATCTGGTGCTCAGTAAGCAGAGCTGCTGCTAATTATTACACACAATACACCAAATCTACAAATATTGATATAGCTTAGCAGTGAAACAGAAGTCAATATAGTAAAAAGAAAAGCATTAAATAAAGCAGTTGCTTGTGAATAATGTGTGTATGATTTTGACTGATCAACGCATTTTCTGATTGACCAGTATTGGCTTTATAAAATGCCATCCTTTTCTAATATTGAGTTTATTGCAGCCCATTGAGCTCTAGGTGTCATAAACAGCTGATTGCACTTTAAAACACTGCCAGACTCTTTTTCTGATGCGCAGAGAGAGAACACATCTCAGAGCAACTCTACAGCCGTTTCAATTAAAGAAATCCACTGGGATGGGGGGGATGAATTGAGACTGTCCAAACTCTGTGGTGACCTTTCTGCTACAACAGATTCACACCGCACTCCTCTGTCCACGCATCTGTTTCTCACACTGTCAGAAATAACACAACAATGCCTCAAAAATAATTTTTAAAAAAAGGGAACCATTCATGGAGGGTTGTCCAAAATACCAGTGTTAGCTTTAAAGCTGTGTGTACTATGGAGTAGTGTAAAGTGCTAAGTGATATGGAAATCATAAAAACTATCACATAGATATTTTAGGGTACAGAATACATTTCTTTATAAATTAGTATTCGTTTTGTGGATTTCATCGCTGAGTGGGTAAAGGCAAATAATAAAACAGCTAGAAAAGTCTGGTAAATTCATAAAATTACATAATTTGACTGTAATGCAGCCTTTCAAGACCAGAAAACGACAACACTATATCAGAATCCTCACACCCTGTCTAGTCTCATATCACAATATCAATATAGTGCAGAGTCCTAATTGTGTAGGAAAACAAGTTTTGGATTAATTCTGTCATTAGATTTTCAGTAGTAAAGGACAAAACTTGACATGTCTAGTACAGAGACAAGTTTAAATGTTCTCACACAGCAGCAGGATGAAGAAGTGTGAGTGTTTGTGTGTGTTTGGGAGAGAGGAAGACGGAGGGATATTAAGGGCCAGATAGATGGCTAAAAAAGACAGAGATGGTGAGATGACAGGCCAGAGAGATAGATGAAGGAGAGGCGGTGTTCATATTCTCTGTTGCCTTCAGCGACAAACTGTGGCCATAAGACATCAATATTAAACACAGCAACAAGACACACAGCCTTTCACGCACACACACACACGCACACACACATAATCATCATCCCCATACCAAACACAAGACATCAATATCATATATGAGCATTTATATGCAGAATATTTTAGCTACAAACATAATGTGTGCTTCTGGAGAGCGGCAGATGATTGAAAGCTTAGTCGTCGGAGGCACTGGGATTTAGGCCAGCACTTAGAGAAGGAGAGACATCGTCTTTCTGTCGGAAATGAGTAAGCTTGTTTTCCTGAAATCTCTGCATACTGATGTATTAAAAAAAATAAGAAGGGGTTGTGTTTTTTATATTAAAAACAAAATTATTAAATGGAGGGCGCGGGTTGTTCCTTTATTGAGGATTAATAATCAAACAACGTCTCTGATCTGTCTGATGTCACAGGAAAGACAGAGTTGGCCAAACAGGTGGCTCGCTACATGCACAAGGACCTCAAAAAGGTATGTGCGCACACACACACACACACACACACACACACACACACAGTATACACAGCGGTGATGTTACATTCAGTCAATAGGTGGAAAATAAGTGTTCTCATAGATAAAAAACACAGACATTTAATTTAGCGACCTATTCCCGCTGTGAAGAAATGACAGAGAATTCAATTTGTTTTGGTTTCCATGGTAACTATTAGTACCAGATGTTCAACAAGATGATACACACTGATACAGCAGAGTATGGAGGTTAACCCATCGTGTGATTGCAGGGGTTCATCCGTATGGACATGTCCGAGTTCCAGGAAAAACACGAGGTAAGACCCTTGATTACTTCTGTATGTACTCAGAATGGATGCATAAACAAAAATGTCATATTTGTTCCTTGTTTGTGAAGCTTTGTTGATACATTTAATCAGTAAATCTGAGTATTTTCTTATTCAAGTACCAAATCTCATCATTTCACACCAGAATTGTTTTGTGGTTTTCGGCATTATATGTTAAGTGTGATTCTTACAATTGACTTTGTGTGTTACATAGTTTAAAACGTACCTCTGTTCCTCGTCTCCCAGGTGGCAAAGTTCATTGGCTCCCCGCCGGGGTACGTGGGACACGAGGAAGGCGGTCAGCTGACCAAGCTGTTGAAGGCGTGTCCCAACGCTGTGGTCCTGTTCGATGAAGTAGACAAGGCCCACCCTGATGTCCTCACCATCATGCTGCAGCTCTTTGATGAGGTATGTATATAAACACACACACACACACACACACACACACACACACACACACACACACACACACACAAAAGAGCACAGAAATATCTGTTAGTCACATTTATAAGACATTTGCAAACTGTAACGAGTCACTTTTGCTCTCAGGGTCGCCTCACAGACGGTAAGGGGAAAACCATTGAATGTAAAGACGCCATCTTCATCATGACCTCTAACATTGCAAGTGATGAAATTGCCCAGCATGCACTGCAGCTTCGTCAGGAAGCAGAAGAGGTCAGCCACAGGAAGCTGGCGGACAAACTCGGTGAGAGACACAAAGCTAAATGCAAATGCATACACAAGGATGACTTGCATCACACTGACTTGCATTTGTTTCGTAACATTTGTCATCTTACTACAGCGTTAAAATTATTTGTACGTTGTGATTTTATTTGTTCCTACATCGAGAACGCTTTTAATCCCATTCTGATATTACTTTTTCATTTGTTGCTGTGATATAATAATGTGAAGTATGGTCAAATAGTTTCCCTACAAAACACATAGTGTGTCACACCAACTATAGTGATGTTGTGTGACACGGTAAAGACGTACAGAGCCCTCAGATAAACAAAATCTGAATTGAAATGGATGCTGTGCTTTTCCCCAGAGGACGTACAGAAAGGGGATGACGTCAAAATCTCCCGACAGTTTAAAGAAAGTGTGATTCGACCGATCCTAAAGGTAAGCAGGAAAGAAAAAAAAATTCAGCAGTGTCCTGTATTTGGCCTGAGAGACACCGGTAGTCATTGTCACTTCTTTGGTTCCTCCACAGGCTCATTACCGGAGGGACGAGTTTCTGGGTCGGATCAATGAGATCGTATACTTCCTGCCGTTCTGTCACTCAGAGCTGCTGCAGCTGGTCACCAAAGAGCTCAACTTCTGGGCCAAGAAGGTACGCAACACTGTGATATCACTGCACCCGACATTTATAACCTGGGTGTCCTGCAGTGGGGCTGTAGGCCCCGCCCACTTCTTCCTGCAGCCGCTGAGCTGTGCAGGAACACACCAGATCAATATGATGTGCCACTACTACTCACTATAATGTGATTACAGTGTTTAACATGTGGAGCCTTCATCAATATTTAATTATTAATATTACAGCGGGTCTCCTGAGAGCCAGCAAGACCCTGCAGGCAGCTGATAGGACCCTGACTCATGACTCACTCACTCACTCACACTGTGTGTTCTTCTTTTTGTTATTTAATGTTTGAGGTGTCTCGTAATAACTAGCTTCTGTCTGCGGCTGTGAACACACAGCATAAATCTCATTATGACAGAATCCTCAGGAGACATTTGTTTGTCACTCACTTATACGAAATCAATTAAATGTTCAGTGCTATCATAATTTGCCTTTAATACGGTATTTAAATGTTGTGATATTAGTGTTTGCATCTCTGGAGTAAAACATGGCGTAGGACTTATTGAATGGAGTGTTAACATGAGAAGCTAAATGAGCATCTCTGCTTGCTGCTATTGACTGATGTTTGATTAAAACGCATTAAGGGCCTGTTGATTAGCGCTGGCAGACATGCTGCGTGACACTATCTGCTCTCTGTCCGTCTCCTGCATCCACCATCAGCTCCTTCTGATCTGACTGTTTATGGTAGTGTGTTATACTTAAGGCCTCACAATTTTAAGTTCACCCATTTAACACTTTTTTCTTTAAGGATTAAGGAGGAACTATTTGTTGTCTCATGCACTAAAGCCACAGTATAGCTGTTGGCAATTGGTTCTTAATCGGAGACAACAGTGCAACATACGATAAGCTAAAGGCATAAAGAAATATGAAATGAAATAGTGCTAGTGATACAATAGTGCAAGTAAAATGCAGGAATAAGTAAGCTGTGTTCAGGTACAATAGATTAAGATCAAACAGAATGTGAAATTAAATTCTGCACAGTAGAATAAATACTGTATACTGTGATGATATATAAATCTGTGGATATTTGGAACAGACAGATGTACAGACGAACAGTGTTTTATAGACGTGTGTGTGGGGACCTCAGCAATCTTATTCTCTTCTCTCTCCGTCATTAGGCCAAGCAGCGCCATGACATCACTCTTCAGTGGGAGCGCCCGGTTCTGGACCTGTTGGCGGGGGGGTACAACATGCACTATGGAGCACGCTCCATCAAACATGAGGTATGAGCTGCGACTGGGTTAGGATAGTTCGATTAAACTCTAGTTATGTGTGTGATTTGCACATGATGTGTTATGTAACTTGTATGAGTGTTGGCAATAAGCTTGTGCTTGGAGAAAGAAGGGTTTTTCTAATATGCTATAGCCCTAACAATTAGTCAAATAACCAAAGGGTCTCCTTTCAGCAGAGAAAAATAACAGATTTTCAGAAGTTAAAGGTTAAATACAATAATATTAAATGACTGCAATTTATTTTTATTTCATGAATTATGAGACTGCGTTTTTTTTCTAGATTAATGTCTGGTCTATAAAATCTCAGAAAATAATATGATATAAAACAGAAAAGCGAGATATTTAGGATGCTGAAAAAAGTGCATTTTTGTAGGATACAATTATTTGTTATTAATTGATGATCAGAGTAGTTTGTACATATTTGTCTGTCTATTCATAACTTCTATAAACAATGCAGTTATGGTTAGTTAATCCTTGACTGTTATATAAATGAACATAAGTAATATAATATTCTAATTGCAAATAAGGAAATGGGAATAATCTGATGCTATGGGCCAAACAACCTGCACAACTCATTAGACAACACAGCCTGTATACCACTTTAAATATAATTCTCTGATCTCTTCTCCCCCACTAACCCGGCGGCTGATCCTTCAGGTTGAGCGACGGGTCGTCAACCAGTTAGCCGCGGCGTACGAGCAGGAGCTGCTGCCCAAAGGCTGCACGCTGCGTCTCACCGTCCAATCAGAGGACCAGGAGGATCCGAGCACGCCCAGCTTGCGCCTGGAGGTGGTCGGAGAGGACAGCACATCGAGAACGCTGGACATCCGTCCGGCGCTCAGCCCTGAACACTAACGCAGACACACAGAGAGTATATCCAGATATGTATGCACACATGTACACTTTCCACACTCACAGCATCATCTTAGTGTCAGGAGCATGGATAGTTCTTGATGGATGTTACCAATAAAAGTACCTCTGATAAACACATCACTGCCTCTTTGTTTCAGTACACACATGCAGTAATCACATGCCAACTTTTCGCAATATCGCAGTATAATATCTGCCAACTATGTGTGCTGTAAGCAGTATATAAAGTCATCCTACGTGACCATTAAAGTGTATCATATAACAGACTGTCATATCCAGAGCTGTGCACACAGTTGTTAGATATCAAATCTAAGTGCAGGGTGAGTAAATGTTGCAGGTTGTAAACGAAGCAAAGAGGCTTCAGTGCCTGTGCGTCTTCATGAACATCAAACATCCCATCAGTGGAGGGAAGCCATCGTATAAGCTAAACTAAACTTCATATCATTACGTATGTAGTAGCCTATTGTTAATGAACTGTGACGTAGTGATGAAGTTAATGTCCACTTTATAGTGTAGAGCACTGAAAACAGCCAAATTATTGAATATTTATTAAAAGCTATATTTAAGTTAATGACAATGAACGGTGGCATATCCCACATTAAAAGGCTGAGTGGTAGATTTGTTGTTGCATGATTTAGCAGAGAAAAATATTGTCAAATGGGGAAAATCCTAACAGATTTGTTGACAAATAGCAACACTTACATTCCTTTAATACGTACAAAATGATGTGCGGATGAATAACATCTACGAGTTGTCCGTTTGCTTTGAAGGAAAGGAACATTTGAATGACCAAAGAGAGTTTGGCATTGCCTCAGATTGTTGCCTGTTCACTTTGATGCTCACTTCATTTAGAAAATCCTCACCAGCAGAGCTTCACTGATAAATGTTTGTGAACACGACTTGCTAATTCATTTCATTTCAGTGTTTAATATGTTAGTGGAGAAATACCAAGCAGAAATGTATAGCAGCCCGTTTGAATGATGGGTAATAAAACTGCCTTGTGAATTGTTTCTGTTGATGCATGTGAATGTAAAGAAGTCTCTTCTGTCACGACGAAGTGCTCCATGCTGTACACTGACATTAAGAGAAATGTAGAGACATAAAGAAATAATATTCAAAGTGTTGTTTCATAAATGTTTTAACAGCATCTCGACAAGGCGCCAAATGTAATGGAGTGACATTATTCATTCTTGTATCCCAACCTCCACCGTGTAAATAAAGTCATCACAACAAAAAGGGGATTCCTCTTTTTTTGTTCTGTTTGTGTAGCACTGACACTCCTGATGGATGGATGTGTGTGTGTGTGTGTGTGTGTGTGTGTGTGTGTGTGTGTGTGTGTGTGTGTGTGTGTGTGTGTGTGTGTGTGTGTGTGTGTGTGTGTGTGTGTGTGTGTGTGTGTGTGTGTGTGTGTGTGTGTGTGTGTGTGTGTGTGTGTGTGACCCCAGTGCCTGGGTGGGAATTCTGCAACAATAACGCTTGTCCACCTTGTAAAATAACATGACAGAGGAATTTCCCTGGAATTCTGCTCTGTGTGGGGGTCTGTGTTTGACGCTGGGAGGGAATGCAGCGCGCCAAATGCCACAGAAATGTAGAAGACCTCTCACACACACACACACACACACCCTGCAGGAATGTCTCCCCTTTAGGGACGAATTAGCATGCAGGAAAAGGACACATTCACTCTTACTGTGCTCTGCCTGGACCCCCCAACAACACACACACATGCAGCCTGTTTTACAGCCTGAGTCACAGTGGTCATTCCCTGTTGATATGGAAAAGTAAAAAACTATAATCATATTCTTTAGCGTTAAAATAATTGGTAGTCAATTTGTCATCATGACATAAATTGCTATCAATCAATTACATTATAGAGAAGAAATGCCATGAATTGATTTGTCCAGCATCTTTACACTGTCTTCTATTATCTTAAATTAATTGTTTGTATGCTCTCAGATACACATTTTTTGAAGATTTTATTCTGGTAACCTGCGATTCGTGGTTTTTCAATATTTTCTGACATTTAAGTATCCAAACGATTTATCAAAATATAAGATTTTAAGGCAATTCTACACTGTCTAAAAACTAAGAAATGATTGAAAACTGAAAGTTGTATCCATTTATTCTCCATCTCCATGATTAGTATAGTTTTAGTAATGGATATTGAAAAACGACTGTCACTTTTATCTAGACCCTCCTCATCAGCGTACCTCAGCAGAATAATACATTTGATTTTGTGCATTCATAACGACTACTGTTTGCTCCCTTTCAATGTTTCCTGGTGATTCGTTGTACGGTAACTGAAACAATGGTAAGTACAGCTTTTAAAAGGTTTCTGACAACCTAACCCTACACTGTGGCTAAATGACTAGTAGTCTGCACTGTAAACTAATTGTATTTATTTATCAAATGTTATCTGCATGTTGTGAAGTGGATCAAATGAGCCACAGACCTGCATGCATTTTCAAAAGTGGGACTCTTGAAGTAGCTGAATCTGGTCAGTAGATCAGGTTTTGCTATGATACCTCAAGGCTTTTTTCCAATCTCTTATAACCCTCAAACACATCTACACTTTATGGTTTTAGGAAGTCAAGCTGGCGTGTGTGTGTGTGTGTGTGTGTGTGTGTGTGTGTGTGTGTGTGTGTGGTGTGTGTGTGTGTGTGTGTGTGTGTGTGTGTGTGTGTGTGTGTGTGTGTGTGTGTGTGTGTGTGTGTGTGTGTGTATCCATTTACCCTCCCCGAGGATGAAGACAAGAATAAGAGGAGGAGGGGAGAGAGAAGAGGCTCTTAGTCTGTCCGTCAGGCTATTTCTGACTGCTGCCATTTCTCTGATTAGATTATGGAGAAACAGAAACCTGGCCCTCCATCGTCCTAACCTCCCTCTCACTCTATCTCCATACATTTTGCTCTCTCCATCCCCCCATCTTCCCTCCGCCTCATACTCAGCTTCTCATCCACCTTTTTCTCAGAGTCCTTCCCTCGTGGACTGCTGTCCATCTGTCTGTCTTTCTGTCCCAGAGAAGTAAAGGTAAAACGTCAAATATGACAGGAGACAAGAAAGATGGGAGGAATCAAACATGTATCAAAGCAAAGAACTAAAAGGTACCAAAAGACTACATTCCTTTTGGTAACTTATTGTGTTCCTTGATCAAAGACAGACTCAAGCTGCACACAGAGCCACTAGAGTCAGTAATAATGCATGGCCTTAGTTTATTGGTGTAAATTATCTAAACAAGCTCTAATCAACTCAATTACAGATAACATTTGGGGTGCTAAACATCCCTGGTTCCTTGTTCTCTGTTGCTGTCCTTCCCCATCTCTCCCCTCTCACTTCCTCTCACTTCTGTCCTTTCAGGTAAAATAGGCGTACATTAATCAATAAACAGACATTTGACATAAAACATTCCTGTTAGTCAGGAGCAGTGGCACAGTTTGTCCAGTCAGTTACAAGTAGAGGGTTTATTGAGTAAAAAAAGCCCTAGATTTGAGATGGTCTAAAAATAAATGCTCTGAACATGTACAATGCTGATTCATATTTGAAATCATGCTCATGACATCTACTGCTTATGATTACTAATCTCTGTTTTGATAACAAAACTATAGCTGAAGAAGTTTGGGTGCGTTTGATTTCAGAGCAGTTTCTGCAGCAGCAGCTGAGAGGTGCAGCAGTAGGTGGAGGTGGTGAATGATGAACGACTACAGGCTCTCCCATTATCATATCTGTCGCTGCTCTTAACGGGGGATTTTCATCCGTGTCCCTCCGCACTCCTCTCCTCTCTCCCTCCCTCCCTCCCTCTCCTCTTTATTGTGCTCCCCCAGGAAAGCGATCGATGTCACCTCCATTACCTCAGTCCTCTCAGCTCTAGATGCTCCTCATCCATGCAGCTGTGAAGCAGCGGTTATCTCAGCCTTTGTACATGTTGGACTCTTGAGTTAACGTCGGGCTTTCAGTGGCTTTGTTGTGGTTCGGGCCGGACCGGCGGACAGAGGTTGCACACACACCGGATGCCTTCCGGTTACCGCAAGGCAATCACGTGACAGTCCCCTGGGAGAATTAGCATAAAAGACAAATAAAGGACCCCACCAAAAACACACCAGTCTGCCCTCCTTTCTTTTAAAGAAAAGGAAAGAATCCATTCCGCCTAATTCGAACCTTGCTCAGGGACAGCTCGCGTGGCAGATTGCAGCCTAATTAGTTTAGAGGGAATTTAATTCAATTAACTTTCCACAGCTCCGCGCGCCCCGCCGCTGGGCTGCTTTCAGAGCGCGGGGCCAGAGCTCGAGATCTAATTAGCGTGTTTGGAGAAGCTCTCCTGCGCGCGGCCATCCCTCGCTGCTCCAGCTGTGGTGTGTGTGTGTGTGTGTGTGTGTGTGTGTGTGTGGTGTGTGTGTGTGTGTGTGTGTGTGTGTGTGTGTGTGTGTGTGTGTGTGTGTGTGTGTGTGTGTGTCTCCCGGGACCTGTTTTTTTTGTTATCCTAAAAAGCTTCTTTTTTAAGTAACATGCCGTTATCCATTAGGATAATACAGATCTGGTGCCGCAGTGGAGAGTTGTACGCAGCATGTGAATAACCGCAGCTGCTCTGCGTCATATTCCGGCTGATGAATGCATGTTGAATTCATGTAAGAGTGGACTTAAATTAGTGTGAGTGTAATTTGATGGGTTAAAATGTATGACCACATTTGTGGAAATTGACAAAACTTCAGCCTGGTGAGCCTTTGTGCTGTACAATGATTTTATTCTCATTAAACTGTAATTCACTTCACGTTTTCCATTCCAATCTTATTATAATTTCGGGATTGTTTACAACTGATGCTCTTCACTGCAACCAGTGGCTGTTTAAATGTCCCAATTATGGTATTTCTAACATTTGAATTTGATGCAATAAGATGATATTTTACATGAAGCATAAAGAGACATTTGATTCAAGACATTTACTCTGAATGTTCTTGTGATAAGGTGATTTGCCTTTTTGCTCTTTGACGAGGCTTTTTTTACGAGTATGCATCATGTCTTTATAAACTTCCCTTAAGTGATGCATCTTGGCCCATAAAGCATTGACCTTCATAAAGGGCACAATATTGCACAAAAAAATCTGATTAACGGTATTAAATAAAAAGAAACAGTATGATATCCTATTTGTATCAGTATTTGTATTTTCCTCTTGAGGAGTAGGCTGGGGCCAACGCTGATTTTGATCACGTGTATCAACACTACCTGAGTGGAGAGTGCAGGTGCTGCTGCTGTAACCCGGTTAGACTCGCGCAGTCGTCTCGAGCCGGAGCGTCACGGCACATTCCGGTAATTGGGGATTGAAATGCGGGGACAGGATCACCAACGGGACCCCCCGGCCCCTGGCCAAACACCCCCTCCCTCCTGCACCGTCTCTCATCCATCACCGGGCAAATCAAATGCACCGCCAGCCTCTGCTGCTGTAAAGACGCAGGCTCATGTTAACGGCAGGTTCTGTGATTTTGTATTTATTTTATGTGCGATCAAATGCACCTCTGAGGGAAGGGGAGCTTAAGAGAGGCGATGACACGACACATTTTAGTGACACTGCAGGTGCACACAGCCAGCTGCTCACACTAACCTGGTGGGTTTAACACAGCTGAGGGAGGAAGAACATGGAGCAAATGAGAGAGAAGTTTGGTTCCTAATATTCAATTATACAAATGATTAGCCAAGAGTATAGGATTTGTCACAATGATTGACATCCAGGATATTTAAAATAAAATCTCAGGTAGCTACATTATGGACTCATGCTAAACGGAAAATGTTACACAGATGAAGGAAATACCTATTTTATACCGTGTGTTTATACTAGTGGTAAAAAGAGATAGTGAGTGAGTTCAATCAACCATTTTTTGCTTTTGCTAAAATACGCACAGGTTACAATCAAATCAGCATTAAGGGACTCATTTATAACGGTTTACAGTGCAACGAAAACAGACTCCCACACGATGTCCACCGTGATTCGCTATGGGCCTAATAATTCAATATGCACCACCACAAAATGCAAGAACGAGAGAAAATGCATGCATGTAGGAAAATGAGTTTAACATTCAATCATTTTTTACCCATACTATTATTATTAGTCACGTTATCAAGGTCAAATCATCAAAAATAATTAACAGCTTTATATACATAAAACATGTATTATAATAATATAAACTCTCACTGTAGGGGTTTTAAAAAGCATAAATGTGGCTATTTGTTCAAATGTTCACAGCTATTTTAGTTTTTTCTTATTATACACATTGTCATATTAATTCAAATGTAATCTCAGAGTGAATCAAGCAGCATGAGGGTTATTTTGGCGTTTCTGCAATATTATCAAAACGAACAACATTAATATCTGTTTTTGTCTCCAGTTGCATTTTATAGCAACATGCTCTCATGCATCGTAAAATCAGTTTGCCTTGCGTGTGATTGGAGCAGTGGCCCTGACTTTATTTTACTCTTACTAAAATATGTGTGTTTTACAAATCTTGACATAAAGGAGGTTTCTACCCAGACCTGAGGATCAATAGCTGTCTCAGTCTGAATCAGGAAAACAGCTTTCGGCGCACAGGACATGTTCTGTTTTAAGCTTTCATGATGGATGGAGCTGGCAGGCCCTCTCTCTGACTGACAGCTTCACTTGGTGTTCAGACCACCACCGCGTGTCACGAGACAGATACCGGACTGGGGCCTCCCGCGTGGCTTTTCTTTAAACCAGTGTTCCATCTTTCACTCATCCCTTATCCAGCTGTCTCTATCCATACACCTCTCCATCTCTCCATCAAGACCATCCATCCAGTCATCCATCATAGGGACCAGTCTCTGCGCCCTGACACACACGTTGTCCTGCTGCTTGCGTCGTTAAGGCCGATCTGCATGCAGCGCAGCGCCACAGATCTGCAGCCGGTGGAGACAATCACAAACAATTACAGTGGCATGAAAGATGGGGAGGACACATGTTGGGAATTTGATTAGGATTTCCCTACAGATCATGCCCCTTTCGTGTTCAAGATAAGATAGACAAAGTATCGGGTATGAATATAAGGGCTAGTGATATCTTTATTGTATTTTTGAAAACATAGTGTTCCCAGCACAGAGAAGAGTCTAAGCCATTTGCAGGCCAAGGCTTCACCCATAGTAGGCTATATATTTGAACAGGAAGCCTTAATTCACCATCAAGGGAAAAATAACCAAAAATTACAGTTAAATCCGATTATTATTATTACAAATGCATAAAAACCTGCTCAATTATTATTTCTGCGTATTGTTCTGTAGACCTATATGTTCTCTTTCATTAGCCTAAATGGTCTTTATCGTTGAATTATTATTTGTTGTCTCCTGCCAATACAACATGTTTTTTTTAGATCAGGTTTTATATCTACGAGCTACAATGATCACTGGAAAAAATCAATTGATCCTTTGATGATAACACAATCATAACCCTCATTAGAAACGGACAGCCTATGTTAAGTGCGTCCATAAAATATCCCCTAATAACAGTCCTCCATGGGCCTATAATCCCTATAGTCGGGGTTCCTCTCTCAGGGGCCCTCAGGAGCCTCTAGGGGACCATTGTGTCCCTCTCTGTTGACTCAGACGTCATGAATGCCAAAGATCCCCGTTACTGTTTCCGTCAAATCGCCCCCATGAATGTAAAAGTCCAAAGTTAAAGCCTCCGCAGAGGAGAAGTCTCCCCCTGCGCTGCAGCACTATGCGGATTAGTGGCCTGGAAGAGACCGGTCCCCTCTTTGAAGGGATTAAAGTTTAAATGCATAAAGCGGGAGAGCTAGGGTCGCTCCTGGCTGCTCTTTTTTTGGAATGTAGAAACGTAGAGTTTAACTTTGAAACAGTTTAAGTTTCTCGGTAAACTCACCTCTGAACCCAGCAGACGGGACAAGGACACACAACAGACGGCACGTCCTGGGAGCTGACTGGTTAATGTGCAAGGCCAAAAATCACCAGGCTTAAAAAATGTGTGTATATTTTAAGTGGGTAAAAGAATATTGGAACTAAGTGGATCACATAAACTCAAATATTTTTAAAAGCCTATGAGTGTATATGTTTAGGAAAACAAAACTGTTTATGACTAAAATTGGTTGTGTCTTAAAAGTCCATGTGGGTTGGACACGTGTGCGTATATCACCTAAGGAATAAGTGATAAGGCTGGTTAACGAGACCTTAAGGATCTAAAGCATTTGAAATGTGATAATAAGAAGAATGGCTGTATGTCTTGCGTAATTACGCACACATCTTAATATTGTATGTTATTGTATTTAAGTGCGATATCTTTAGAAAGAATTACGTGAAAAGACTAGGGCTCAGGTTTGCCCTCTTAAACCCAGAGCTCTTGTGTCTGGCCTGGACTTGGACACCGCGACAGACATCAGTGACGTTCATCCAGAACTGTGAGCCAACATCAGCACCAACAACAACTCTATCAACAGCAGCTCCGCGTGCCGCCCCGCCCCAAACATCCACAGCTCTCACCAACCACACAATAAACGCTTTAAACAAATCTTATTATTTATACTTATTGGTATAAGTGAGTGCAACGCGGCAAATGCACGCATGCGCTTGTTTGGTGGGTTAATGACATTAAGGAGCATCATCATGCAGCCTCTGGTCAAGAAGAGATAAGAGACACACATACACACACAATCCAAACTTAATTAATTTATCGCATTCACGGAAAACATAATTTTGGTTTGTGGGTTATGTTATTTGTTGAAATGTATCCTCTAATAAAACGCCTGTTAATTTCAGAGCCTGCAATGTCGTGTTTTCGAATTGCATCAGATTTGAAAACTGCATAGAGCCGGTTTCAAGAATGTGTGTGTGTGTGTGTGTGTGTGTGTGTGTGTGTGTGCGCGCGCGTGTGTGCGCGCGTGTGTGTGTGTGTGTTGGGGGCCGTGTGGGATATGACTTATCACATTGTATGACACCGAACAATAAACTTAAACCAATTTATGGAGCGTCAATGCGTTTATGGTTAGCCTGTCGTGGATGCTCAGTTGTCTCCGCAACCACTTCCCTCTCTAGTCCTATACATCAAAGTGACGCTCACTCTGGTGACATCTCCGTAAAAAGTGATCGGAATCAAATCAAAGCTTTTAATCTCACCAATCACCGTCACATCTGGACGTGTTCCCACATAAAGACTTCTGTGGCTGAGTTTCACTTGTTTCCACGAGCCGTTTGAGGGGCAGTGAAACTATTATGATCAGCAATGGAGCATTATTCGATCCATTCCCTCAGCCTGTAACAGATACAATGTAGTCACATGTTAATAGGTTGAATATACTGTTTTAGCATACTAATCGTTAGCACTTCCCAAATCCCAAACCGATTGAATATTGCTTCTTTCATTTAAAATCTCTACAGGCTCATAATCTTGTGATATTTTAACAAACACATTAATATTCTGGACTTCAAAATCCACAGATCTTATTGAGTCCAAGTCTGCTTCATGAATTCAAAGATAGGCTGTTAAAAAGAAATACAATTCCACAAATGAACAATACTTCCCACACCGGACGTGGTTTATGGGCACTTCAAGAGGCTTTTAGGCAAGGCTGCTTTCTACTTGAATTAAAGCATCTCATCAAAATAGTGGAAAAAGAGGGGATACATAGTAGACTAAATTCAGGAGAAGACAGAAGTATTTGCCTATCTTGGATGGCTGGAAATTGTGAGAGTTTGTGAGCTGATGAAACTGAGATTAACGCTTGATTTCAGTCCAATATTGACTTGAATCGTCCAAATTAGAAACGTCCGATAAAGGAAAACATGTAAAACTTTGAAAATGAAGAAGCATTTCGGTTTTTTAGCCCTACGATTTAACTCTGCTGACACCTGCGAGCTCGCGATGCTCTGGAGCGCATGGGCGGTGCAGTGAGTGGTGGGAGGAGTGGGGGGGCATTGTCATGGAAACTAGACCACCGCCTCGCTATTGTCTCGCGCTCTGCCAAGTTTATTATAAACACTGCGCGAGCTGCAGCGCGCTGTCAAACGGAGAGAGACAGCAGCGCGAGGAGCAGTCCAGAGAGGAGAGCCGAACAGAGACAACAGGAGAAAGTGAACAAGAAGAGTGAAGAGAAAAAGGCGAAAAACATCTGGATTATTAACCGAGAAATCTCAAAAACAGTCCCGTCACATGCAGTGAGATATAAAACTGACAGGAGTTCAGTCCTGGGAGATACTGGAGAGACATACCGAACAATATTCCCTGCAACTCCTCACTTAAAGACGGCTGCATACACACCCGAGCCCCTCTGCTCACAGTTATTTGCTTTTTTGTTGGCAAACCGGTAGTTTGCACCGGCTCTTCTCCATGTATAAAATGGATTACTCCTACCTGAACTCATATGACTCCTGCATGGCGGCCATGGAAGCTTCGGCCTACGCGGACTTCAGCTCCTGCAGCCAGGCCAGCTCCTTCCAGTACAACCCGATCCGGAGCGGACCCTTCTCCAACCCGGGCTGCACCCCCCTCAGCACGGCCAGCTGCACCCTGGGAGCCCTGCGCGAGCACCAGCCCACACCATACTCCTCAGGTAGGAGCCCTCTCTCCTGAGGGTCTGCGGGGATATCTACACATGTTAGAGCAATGATATAAATGTTTATGTTATTCTGTCGTCTTCATCATTTTCTCTGGCTTGATGCTGAGCTGTGACACATTTTAGACGTCAAGCAAACATTTTCCAAGAAAATATGGAACTGTGATTTTTTTTTCCCGTTATTGACGACTAAATTGTCTATATCGTTAAAAGCCTGAATGGTTTTACATGGATTTTATCTTGATGCACTTAATTTGTCGTTTAGAATAAATTACGGCAAATGCATTATTGGAGAGAGGCAGTGTAATGGTAATTCCGTTAAATGCTTTATTTATTTTTATATGATGACTTAATATAGGCCTATATTTTTTTTTAAAGGTGAAACATCGTCTATTAATGTGAGAAATTGCATTTATATGCATTTATGCGCCAATTTATAAAGAAAATAACATATATGCTGATAATAATAATAATAATAATAATAATGAAAATTATAATTATTATTATAATAATAATAATATACATTTTCTAAGGGAATAATCGAAAACAACTTCGAATCCCACACACCTGCTGACCAGAGGCACGCCTAACGGACACATTGTTTGAACTACATTTATTATTTTAAACTCGTTATGCAAATGTATTTATTGTTTTGCAGTTTGCAAATCGCATGCATTGATTTAATTCCGTAAAGAACTGCAGACATGTGTCACCCTGTTCTCACTCCCATCAAAACAAACCTATCAATGATTTGTTTCTCAGAGCAGTGAGGTTCTTTTCTGATCGAAGCTTAAAAATACACGGAAATTCTCGTTTTATGTTTCTTGATATTTCCATTATCCGTGACCTTACTCCATAATAACCTAAATAGATTTGAATTGCAAACTGACTTTTATACTGTTGGATTTTAATTCAAAACATTTTATAAATCCGATCAACAGGCCTAAATGTGTTGTTTATAGCCTGTAATTTATTTGAGACTACATTTAGCTACATTATGCTGTATAAGGCTACAAAATGGTTAAAACAAATAAGTATGTAAAAAAGTAGGAGTTGACCAGCGATCAGCGTTTTCTTTATTGTTTTATAAATGTGGTCTGTAAAGGGCATTCAGCCTATTATATACTCTCATTGGCTTTTAAAACAACCCTGCAAACAATTAGTCAATAAAATAAACCGGCATCCACAAACCAGTAACTAAAAGCACAAATGTTGACCTTATATATAAAAAACAAATCTTGACGAGTTATACGGGTTCTCCATCATTTACGCCCTCAGCGCTTGGTGAACGTTCAAATGTTAATATTCCATTAACGGATATCATTTTCCCCTTACAGTCCCTTACAAGTTTTTCTCGGACCCTTCCGGCCTGAACGAGAAGAGGAAGCAGCGGCGCATCAGGACCACCTTCACCAGCTCCCAGCTGAAGGAGCTGGAGAGGGTCTTTGCCGAGACGCACTACCCGGACATCTACACCCGGGAGGAGCTGGCGCTGAAGATAGACCTGACCGAGGCCAGGGTTCAGGTGAGAGCAGCAGCTTTTATTCTTCTGCTTTCTTAAACATGAAGAGAGTTTCAGGTAGAATAAATTAAACACAACTCAAGCAAAGGAAAACTATGGAATTTAGAGCTATCTATCTATCCATCCATCCATCTATCCATCTATCTATCTATCTATCTATCTATTTCTATATCTATCTACCTATCTCTATAATGATATATCTATTTATCTCTATATTTATCTATCTATCTATCCATCTATGTCTATCTATATCCATCCATCTATATCTTGTGTAGTTTCTTACACATATTAACTGTATCTCTGTCTTTTTTGTACAGGTGTGGTTTCAGAACAGGCGTGCTAAGTTTCGTAAGCAGGAGCGTGCAGCCAACTCAAAGGCCAACAACTCAAACGGCACTACGGGCAGCAGCTCCAGCAGCAGCTCAGGAGGGAAGAAGGGCGGAGAGCTGAGATCTTCATCCGATGATGACGAGTCCAAAGAGTCTACCTGCAGCCCCACGCCTGACAGCACGGCCTCCCTGCCGGGCTCGGCAAATGGGAACATGGGCAGCCCTGCCAGCCTGAGCCCCAGCCCGGCTCCTGCCAACATCGGCTACATCAACGCCTCCAACTCTCCGGTGCTGCAGGGGCTGAAGCCGCCCAGCTGGTCCAACCTCGGGCCCTCCAACCCAGCCGTGGCCCAGCCCGCCACCCAGACTCAGGAGATTCTGAAGGCCTGGCAGCCGGCAGACAGTATGACCGGGCCCTTTGCCGGAGTCCTGTCCTCCTTCCACAGAAAACCCAACCCCAACATCAAGACGAACCTGTTCTGAAGCCCAGAGGAAGAGGAAATGAGAAACAAACATTATGCTGTCCACTGGAACAGTGAGGAGTTTCTAGCTTTTGTTGAGAGTCAGGACTTACCCATTATAACGCTGAATTCACAGGTGTAGGCCCTTGGTTCTTCTCTATAAAACTATCCCGTCAAATTCAAAGCTCACATAGTAAAGTCAAAGGTCAGGTCACCATCTCTAAACAGATTATGCAACTGCTACTGCAAAACTCGGAACATGGTCCATTTCCTTCCTTCTATAACTTCCTTCAATTTCATCCAAAAATCCATTCATACGTCCTCAGATAAACTTAAAAGACAGTATTTAATGATGGAACGCTCTTTGTGTACAGGCTCTGAAACAGCGCAAACTTTCGGACACAGTCTTGTTTCCTCTTCGTCTTTTCAGTCCTTCACACATAAACCCACATTCCCACACTCTCTGCATTGCAACAGAGCCTTGGACAGCCTGAGCAGCGGCTCAGGAATCAAAACAAACAAACTTTCACCCTCAAGCACAACTCGACACAGTCTCCCAGCAGAAGGGAACAGGGTCCCCTTAAATCTCTTTGCCGAGCAGAGCAAAGCACCCCACAAAGCCAATTAGAGCTGCAGGCTCCAAATACAACACCTCCCCAGTTCAACCCTTCCTCTTTACTGTATCAAGTCCTGACTCTCCCTCTACCATCCTCAATGTGACCCCCTCACTGGTCCCTTCCCTTCACTCCGGCCTTTCTCTATCAGACAGTGGGTACTTTGTACTTTGTTTAAATTAATCAAGCGAATGTTGAGGGAGAACTTAAGGCACGGTGCCGTTTCCTGCCTGTTCTCTTGGTGGAGAGGGGTGAAAGATGTAATAATACACAGAGCAGAGTTTACCCACAATCTAATTAAAACTGACTACAACTGGTTTCTCACTTTCATCACTGACTGAAGAGTTCTCTGGTGATTCTCCTGCTGGAGATTGGAAAGCACTGACTTTGTTGAGTCTGTTTTACAAACTCAAACAGACCTAAAACCCTTCACTGACTTTGACTCTCTCATGAGTTTTCCATTAACTCTACAAAGGCTGACACATATGGGACAATTTTCTCAGTAATGCAAAGCAAGCTGGTCTAATGTTGGCAATATAAAGAGAGATGCAGACAGTTACGGGACTTTTCTACTGTGTATCCATTGATTCCTCGATTTTGTTTCTGTTTACGTCCATCCCTTTTTGCAAAAAAGCAGCAGTTTGTTCTTTCTCTCACCTTGCAAAATTGCTTGTGTATCATCTATCTTTCTTTTTGTAGCTAATCACTGAAACAAGACTGATTTCAGAGCGGACCTTTTGAAGAAAGACTCCAGAAATCTACTTAAAAGGGGAAAAAACATGTATTTATTAATATTCTTTATTATGTCAGTGAGGAAACCCACACATTTCTTTGAACTGCTCCATGACATTTTGTGACTGTAAATTAATAATATAATAAATATTAGGTAGCTTTTTGTTGATTTCTCTCATGTTGCTTTAAAGAGTTATTTCATTGCGGAGCATCTGTCCCACAGACCGACACGTCCATGAAAACTATGAATCAACAGAAGCTCTAGTGAATGAGAAGTTATAGCACTACTCTGAATATTCTAATAAACATTATGGAAGCACTACGTGACGCATTTATGATCTGGTTTCTTGTGTGTAACAAAGTGATGAGAGTGTTGTGTGTTATGTGCAGACCACAGAAACTAACAAATCTGTTTTCATGAACACTGGAAGGACATGCCCCTGATATCATGATTAAATAAAAACTGAAATGACTGTCATTTATTTACCGTACACTCTTTCCCTTTCCTGCTATGAGGCACGTATACAGCTCACAAACCATTACTGTCACATCCCCTCAGCTTTCCCCGCAGACAGCAACAAAAAGAAGAAAAATGAGCAAATAGGAAAAAAGTTAAGATATTAGATTTTAATTGAAAAAAAAGACATGGGCAAACAAAACATTAACTTAACATTCAAAAAAGAGGCGACTACATGAAATAACAAGAAAAAGTCAGTCAGAAAAAACAATGGGGCGTCTTTTTCACTCATACGCAAACACACACACACACACACACACACACACACACACACACACACACACACAACAGAGAACACTGAGAAGCCAAAGGGGCTTGAAAAGACATCAGATTTAACAAGACTAAACCACATTCTCTGCCATACGGTTGTTTGACTGTTAGAAAATTAGACAAAGTGTGCAACACATAACACAAGCCTGTGGCTGAGACTTGTAAGGCTGTATGTGGGCAACATAATTAAAGGATGTCATTGGGTCACAAAGAAATAGGAGAAGTAGACATGAATACAAACTGCTACAATCACATATTTAGTCCTAATTAGGAAAAAGAGTTTAGAGTTCTCAGCATCTCTTAAAACAAACTGGCTTCACAGGAAGAAAAGAGGCAGGATTTAAATTAAGAACAAAACAAGGCAAAGTGAACACTAACTGGTATGTTAGCTCTATGATTGTAACTGCACAGGAAACATTTATAAACAAACAAACCATTCACTGAAGATGACTTAGTTCTGTCTTATTTTCCCAGTTTCCACAGATGGTGTTTATAGAGTAGCAGCACCACCTGCTGGGCACATCAGGGAACAACAGCCACCTGCGTCCTGACATTTCAGTTTTTAACGTATTATGAGGTGAAATCTCAAGATATTAGAAACATATCTAATGACCCTACATTAGTCTGTGTCTGTAGTAATGTAACAAAAGAGCCAAATTAAATCAGCAAAATAAAAAAAATCTTTAGACTGTTTTACAGGCAATTATGTTTCATGACAAATATTTTCCTTTTTAGAAATGGAAATATGATTGCTTAGTAAATGATTTGTATAGTAATCATTAGTAGTTAGAAGTAATCTATTTGGCTAAGGTAACCAATTCCCTGAAAACTGCTTCATTTAAAAAATGAGTGAAATATGTGACATTTAGCCCATCCTGGGTCATTGGTTTCCAAAATGTCTTCTTCTGTAAATTGAAATGTACAGACAATTAAAGTGTGAGCATGAGATGTGCTAGGTCAAGCATTTTAAGGGATATATCATTTTGGTACAACATTTGTTGTTGTACACTTTTGTAGCCTAAGTAGATTTTTTAGATGATCAAACAAACACTGTTTCCAAACTTGTCAAAATCTGCAAAATTCAGATAAAAAAGATGAAATGTCAGTGTTGAGTGTGAACACACTGTGGGTGCTAATGGCTAACACAGGCACTTAAATGTTGTACCCTGGGGAAATATAACCTTTTAGCTCTCCCAGGACCGGTTTGGTTGGTTTGCTCCATATTCCCTTTATCATTAAACACAACAAAAACATAAAACCATAAATACATGCAGAGACAGAGACAATAAATGCCATTATTTAAACAACAATGGCCCAAACGTTCACACAAAAGTACAACATTTGAGAAATGCAAGTTGAGCGAGCTTTAGTCTGACATGAGTGAAGGCTAGATCCTCTTTTGTCACCACTTCCTGTCCCAAGTGTTCCTCGACGCGAGCTAAACGTCAACATTACCCTTGAGTGCTATCTCACAATTTCCCACATATGATCGTTTGTGGGGGGAAAAGCTCTGGTTTTCCTCCAAAAAGCCCTATTTTCATTTCCCATATCAAGGAGTCTTAAACTCAGCAGACTGTGTAAATTAACGTTTCTCAGGGCAAAACAAACAAGCTTTAACGCCAGTGTTCTGGCTCCGCCAATTATTTTGTGTGTTATAGTGACTCCTTCTGGTGACTTCCCGTACTGCATGAAGCAGTTATTTTTAGTTCCCATGTGACAGGAAGTTAGCCTGAGACATTTCAGAATAGCATGTGTGCTCCAGCTAAGGCGATGTCTGTTCATCCTGTGCCATCCATCATTCATAGCCCTTGAGAAGGCATTTCCTGTACGTTTTTATGTTTCTACATATATCTTTACCTTGAGTGCATTATTGTGATCTTTGATCCCAGCTGACATTTTGTAGTTGCTGTGCAATATAGCCCTGTACTTTGGCACTGACCTAATTTCATGCCGTCTTGGATATATATCTATGTATATGTAATTATTATGTCATGTAGTTGATATTTACAATTGCTCTTGTTTCTGTATTCCTTCAGTTTCACACTGCTTGCTTAGTAAAGCTTCAAAACATCACCTCGTTGTCCTGAGTTTTACTTTGTGAGAGTGTTTATCTCGCTGGTTAACCGAGAAGGAGATTTTGGCGAGGCCAGTATAGCCAGCTTTAGCTGCAGGTCAGAAGTGATGGCACAACATCAAGGCAGCAGCTGCTTTAAACATGAGTCACTAAAAAATATATATTTCTCACCCTGCATCTTCTCACGAGGTTTCAAGAAGAGGGTTATGTAGTGACGCTGGAAGGACTGAAATGATTCTCATTAAATAAGGCCACCTCTACGACGGAACACATACAGTACAAGTGGTTAAATAGAGATGGTAACTCAACAAGTGTTTTTTTTGAAATTTCAAATGGGAGTGCAATTTCTCTCAGAAGGCACAGTCTGGCATTCATTGGCACGTTCCAGCTCAGCTCAGCTCAGTTCAGTCTCCTGGCACCCGGTGAAACAGGCCGGTTTGAAACAGTTTATTTCAGAGGCTGCTGCTGCCTCAGGCTCTCCAGCAGGATCATCTTGTGGGCGGGGTCGAGCACTCCCGCCTCCTCAAGGTCCTCCTCAGTGATATCACTGTACAAACAATTACTATTACTCAACAGTAATGATTTACTTGAGAAAATAACAGTAGATATTTATTTCTAAATCCCACACAGGTTTCTGCACTTAGATTGTTTTTCTGTTAACTATCTTCCATCTACATCAACAGGACTAAAGCATGCAGCAAAACATGAAATTCAACATGTCTGAGTGTATGTACCTGAGGAACTCCAGGTCGTCCCAGCCGTTGTGTAGGAGGCCCTTCTCATACCTCTCTAGTCCCAGTCTCTGCAGCCACTCTGCCACGGAGGATTCCCCGACAGACAGAGACGAGCTACTGCTGCCCCAAAGTGCCTGCGCAGGGGTAATTAAATACAGGATTTACTCAAAACTGCTGTAGGAACATTGCAGCTCTTCCACAAAACATTAGTCAGCAATGTCGAAAGTCAGTTAAAGATCAAATATATCGCTTGGGAAGGGCAACATTTTCTTCAGTCTGAGAAAGATGCACTAAAACTTAAATCAAAGTATAAGAGGAAAGGGATCCAGTCTGTAGTATGATCGTAAAAATGACTGGATAGAGGCGTTTACATAACATTCTAGAAAATATGTAGCTGGGTTATTCCCAAATTGAAGAGATTGGTGTTTTCACAAAATGGGATAGCTTGGAAGAAATGACTCATGACAACCCAAACAAGACACATTTTAATCCCATCATCTGCCAAAGCATTAATGGTTGTGTTACATTTAAAATAAACAAAGTGCTCACCTCCTCTGGCATATCCTCTGCGATACTCTCTGTGATGGCATTCCTGGGTGGGAAAGTTCTGCAGGCATCCAGATTTAATCCCATCGGATGCCCTCTGAGCGGCGGCGCAGACGGAGCGCGTGGAGGGTGCCCAGAAAACTCACTCTCACTCAGTGTCTTTGCCATCTGGAGCACCGAACACGACTGGTCGTCCAACGCCCCCGAACCTCCCCCTCCTCTTCTGAAACCCTCCCCGAGTGCCAGCGGGGCTGCAGGACTGGCTGCTGGGATCCTGACCTCGGCTAGATCTGGGTAAAGAGCGCGATGAATGGAGAAGGGGGTCTCTGCCACCATCTCCACGGCCCCCTTAGGAAGAGGAGGAGGGGGGAAGTCAGGAGGGGGGCGGTTCAGCGTGCTTCCAACTGTTGTCCCGACATTCACCCCCTGCGATGGTGCTACACAGGCCCCCCCATCGTCCTCTGACGACCCCTCCTCGCTTATAGCGCGGACCGGGTGCCCTGTGGTGGGTCTGCGTGTGTGAGAGGGCCCCGAGGCCACAAAGGGGGGCTTGGTTCGAGCTCCAGCTGAGGGAATAGGGGCTTTAGTCACCTGGGGGTTTGAGGAGGTAGGAGATGGAAGAAGCTCGGCTGAAAGAGCGGCGGCCGACTGATTAGGAACGCCCTCCAGGATGTAGTAGGCGGGGTTATTGTAGCTGTTCTTGCAGACGGACGGATCCCCGTCGGTTCCTTCCTGTTTAGGCCTTTTAATACAAACAAGAACAAAACAGGTGGTTGATGGCTTATATTTTTTATGTTTTATGGGTTCACGTTCTGTCAGTGTGTGTAAACGACATAAATGTGCATCAGTACCTAGCAGCAGTTTCCTCCTTGATGCTCCTTTCTCCCTCCTCACTGACTTTTCCCAGCTCCCCTAGCTGTTTACGGACCGCAGACGGCCTGCATCGAGAGCACATCGTAACAAGTTAGCTTCAGAGACAAAACCGATGATTTAGAACAATAAGCAGGAAATGGAGATTATCTAAACACTTAAAGCTCCCAAAATGGGACCATTTCAGCATGCTTGGGCACATCAGGAAAATGGCGAACATGATCAATAAAGTTTCCTCCTTCCAATATAATGATTATTTTTTACAAAATAACATAATGATGATAATGACGGTATTTCTGCATTGTTTAACTGTATCAATATTGATGGATAGTTAGGCAAAAAAATAGCCGTTTCTTCAATACTATTGTAAATGTTAAAGCGAATCAATCAAAAATACATTGCCATTTTATCTTATATTATTGGTATATCTTCTATAATGTCATTATGTACAGGCAGGAAAACATGGTGTGTACAATAATGTGAAGTATTCCAAAGGATAATAATTGTAATAAAACATTCAGCTTTTTTGAAGTTCCCTATAAATCCACATCACATATCAAATTAAAAGAGGAGTGTACTGACTTTACATATTCATGTCCCACTCTGGATGCCAAAGTGGATTTCCCTTTGGGTGCACCCGTCTCATCCTTGTCCACACTGATCCACTCTGAAATACGACCATAACAAAATTGCTGTAGGATTTAAAAAAGAGTCAAACTGCATCATTTCTCATTCATGTTTTCAAACTCACAAAGCTTCAAAGTCCTTTCATTTGTCTCAACTGCTTCCTTTACATATTTCCTTTGCACTCATTAGAACTAAGATTCATTTTAATTATCGTCTATTAAATTCTCCTACTCAAGTTTTCTGTTCTTTTCATCACAGTGGCATATAAAGCGCATTACCATAGAGTCTCTCCCTGGTTCCCATCCTTTCAGAGGGGACTCTGACCCGCATTAACCCCCTGATGTTTCCTGTTTCCTCTCCACGGTGGGACAGGTAGGTGTGGAACTGCTGTGGTGTGCTGCCAATCATAGACTTCAGAGCCAACACACACTCTCCTAGCAGGGGAAAAAACCACAGACATGCTTGTTTGTCAGACCAAAAGTCAACTCCAAAGAACTTCACAGCAACAACAAAAACGTTCTATTTATACCGTAGGATTCGTATCCGTCCAGGGATTTCACAGTGAGCAGCAGGTGTTGGTCCTGCAGGTACTCCACCTCTGAGAGAAGAGGTTTGAGCGTCGTCAGCTGCTTGTTGGACCAGCCCACACGCAGGAAGTTGACGTTGTCGCTGCTCTGACTGTCGTTCTCATAACTCTTCTTAAACTCTACAGAGGGATGCAGGGCAGAGGGGATGGGGGAGACAACAAAGGGAATAAGGAGGGAAGGAGAGAAGGAAGATGATTCATTCAAAGGTACATGGTTAAGAGGAGGTGGGGATGCAGCACAGGTCAAAAATGGATTCGAGCTTAAAGGTATACTGACTGCCTGAGATAGGGGAGGAAGGGAGACATACGAAAAGAAAAAGACACACTTTTTAATTACACCCACTTGGGGTTACAGATAGTTCCTGCAAACACGTGCTTTTCTCACCTTCCAGACAAGTGGAGTAGAATTCGATGAAAAACTTGGTTCTGCTCGCCGTTTTCACTATGGCCTCGATGCTCTCAAACTCAATGTAGGCCTGCTCTGAAGACTTTGGTAGACCTACCAAGAAACAAGATGGAAGGAAGGGATGGTACAAATAGCATGTATAAATGAGAATAACCAAATTAAAGACATGCAGAAGGAGTTAGCCAAAAACATTTTGCATATCGTACATTTTAAATCAGTAACAATATACTAACGGCATGCACATCCCTAATCCGGGGAAAACAAAAGCTGTGATGCTACATCTGCCAACCTTAGAGAACAAAGTATGAACAAACATGCAGAATGAGTAACAGGGTGCCGTTTGATTTTCCTTTCTGTTCTGCCAAACTCATTGCTTTCTGGTCTCTGTTCAGCTGTGAGTCATTGACCCGACTACAGAAATACATCACATACTGTCTAGATTTGAGCTGGAAAACAAGAAATCATCATTACATTTCTAAGACGTGCACTCTATTTTAAAAATAAGCTGATATGGTTTATGTTCAAATCATGTATTTACAGCCTGAGGAAGAGCAAGAACAGAAGTATTTCAACCAGTACCTTTCTTGGAGACAAACTGGGACGTCACCCCCCACCTCGAAGGTGCCGAACACAGGGGAATGATCACTGGTCACTATATCATCCGTACATCCTGACAAACAAAGCAGAATATAGTTCAGTAGGTCTCCTTGTTGATCAATCATATAACCTTCCGTAAAGCCCATATTAACAATGTCTAGACGAAAATTGCTTAAAAGATTAAGAAAAAAAAGGGACATCTGATACAATCAATTACAATGTGCTTGATTATTTTCTGCTGATGGTCTCACCATAGGAGTTGCAGACAATGTGTGTTTCTGGGTAAGACTTCCACAGGATCCTGTCACACCATGATGGAACATTAGTCCTCATCTGTGACAGACAGTAAAAAGGAAGATGCAGCAGGGTTATCAGTTGTCAGAAAAGGCTAAGAGGAAGTCTATCTGTGATGTTGATCAGTAAGTAAACAAACCCCAGTGGCCTTCTGCTTCTGCCACACATACGTGTCCCTTGAGCCACGTTCGTAACGGTAGGTGGGCGGGAACGAGATCTCTTCTTCCCCTGCAAGCCAAGAGACACACAGTCACTTGTTAGGACTCGAAGCAAGTGAGTGGAAAGGCCCAAACCATTTAACAAATATCAATAAATATGATAAACACTGAATTGAGAATAAACAAACGGACAATTGCTGAAACAAAACACAACCTCTCTCTATTTCCCACACTAAGTGGGAGTTGCATTTGTGCCGCAGAAAGAAGCCACTTTTTTTGTAGGAAAAGCTGACTGATTGTATTTTTTATAACATGAACATAGATATTCACAGACTTCTTTTTGCCACATTTACAGTATTTGTGAGTAGTTGTTTCTTACAAAGAACTGACAAATGTTTAATCTTTGAGACACTTGCGATATCAATTCCATTATGCACAGGGAGAGGGGGTGAACAGCACTGGAAGACAGATAGAAAGACTGTCTGGTAGAAACACAGGCATACTCACCAAAGCGTAAAAATACTTTGTTCTTCTCCCTCTCCAGGTTAAGCTGGTCCACCTTCAGCAGGGGCTCAAACTCCTTCCTGTTAATGTAGTTTAAAATCTCCTGCACATACACAATAGACACAGAGCCACACAATTAAGCTTCATCAAAACCTGCTCCATTCAATCATTCTGCAGCATGGGGGTTGGTGTGTGTGTGTGTGTGTGTGTGTGTGTGTGTGTGTGTGTGTGTGTGTGTGTGTGTGTGTGTGTGTGTGTGTGTGTGTGTGTGTGTGTGTGTGTGTTCTGCTTCACCTGTATGTCCATATCCAGCCTGTAGTTGAGGTCTCCCAGCCAGAAGAGGTGTGTAAAGCGAAGTGAGATATCGAAGGAGCTCAGCTGCTTGTCTCCTAGCGACAGCAGGCGTAGGATATCTAGGTAGTTCTGGTTCCTCCTGTATGGGTCAACGGTCACATGTGTCACAGATAAGAGGTAAAAGAGTAATGTGTGATGTTTTCTGGCACACAGCAAAAGTGTGTCAAAAGTCATTTGTGTCACAGGTAAAGAAGTAATGACTGTTGTTTGGGAGGTTTACTGAGGCACTGTCAAAGTATCAACCACAAAGTAAGTGTCCAAATGTAAGGGTTAATAAGTCAAATACCCTAAAATTAAAAAAACATAAATAATGTGTGTGCAGGACTGTGGGAGGTACCTTGCAATCTTCTCATTCCCTGATGTCAGGTGACAGTTCACAAAGCCAAAAGATGTCCCATTGAACATAAAGGACACACCCACAGCTCCTTTGTTCCCTAAAACAAACAAACAAACATTTATTACAGCAATCAACTGTAATTGCTTGAATGTGTTCAAAACAAGAACTTAAAATCATTTTGATCCTGTTGAATAAATTGCCTGTCAATGAAATGTGAAATAAAAACACTGCTATCAGAATCTTTAGTTAACTTCTTTACGAGTTCATTTTACAGAGTATATATTATAGTGATTGCATTTACTCAATGAGATACCGTTTTCTTTTAAATCCAATTCACATTTTTAGTGAGTAAGAGATGAAGTAATGAAATCCATTATAACCCTTTAACTTGCCCTTTGTTAACAGAACAAAGTCAGAGTTTCATCGTGCTGTTATTCCATTGTTGTTGTTTTCCTCTGGATTTTGTTCAGAAGGTAAAACATATAGACTAGAGGAAGAATAAAGACTGAATATAGAGAACTGTTGTTACCCAATGTGTTAGCGATGCCGGTCTTGACACTGGACATTCCCACGTGGCTGATCCGGTTCTCGTGTTCCGGTTTCACCAACACAGCAATTTTTATGTTCCACAGAGTTTGCACTGCGATCTACAACCAATAACAACAACAAGCCTATAGTCAACATTGGTATTTCTTTCCTTGTCTCAACTTAGCCTCAGGACCTAAATACATACAGTACATTTGATCAAGCTCAAATCATTTGACAGCTTATAAAATCTTTGTTTCCTCACCGGTTTATAATCCAGTTCCGTCTGTTCTTTCAATAAGGCACGCAGCGACTCCACCCACTCACGGTCACACACAGAGTTTTCTTGGCTTCCAAACACATAAAGGTCATGAGGGGATGGTGACCGTCATCTCGTCTAGAGTCTTCCCGAGGCCGTGACACAACACCCACGAGGCCTGAGACTTCGGAGCGGGCACTGAGCCTACAAACAAAGACAAAATGTTACTTTGTCTTCCAAAAATACTAGTCATGCCCTGGAAATTCATATATTTGTGTTATCTTTTAAGCAACTTGTGAAAATATATAAGCCAGTGTGTTTTGCTATTAACATTATGTTGAAAATAACACCTAATGTGAAGACATAATAAATGTCTCTGCATGTGTCTGACCCATATTCCAGGTGCCAATGAAGATGGAAATCATGTCTGGCTCGTCTTGGTTGGAATGTTTGTTCTTCATCAGCTGTAGCAGCTGGCAAAATGCCTCCCGCTTCTGAAACACACACACACACACACACACACACACACACACACACACACACACACACACACACACACACACACACACACACACACACACACACACACCACACACACACACACACACACACACACCACACACACACACACACACACACACACACACACACACACACACACACACACACACACACACACACACACACACACACACACGTCAGAGGAAGTTGCCACAAAAGGGCACCTTGTTTTTAAGTTTCATGTGCTTTCACTAAACTATTTAACATTTAAACACATGATATGGTTTATTCCTTAGCAGCTCTCATTTAAAGCAGGCAAACAACTCTCTTTCGCTTTTTTGTTATATTGTCATTTGAAGCTGAATTGATTGCTAAGATTTGTTTGTTGGTCTGTGCCAAATCTTGGCTCTGTTAGTATCCTCAACTTTATTACATTTAAGAAATAAAAATGTGAGTGTGTGTTTGAATGAATACAACATTATACTTTCTGACATCCACAAATGTATGTGTGAGGCAGTGTGTGACTGTGTGTGTGCAGACCTTGGCACTGGCAAAGATGAAGTCTTTCCTCTGGCTCTTGTCCTTCTCCTTCTCAAAAACAATGCCCAGTTTATTCTGCACGCGCTGAGACTTGATCAGCTGACGGACTGAGACAGACAAATACACAGACAGAAGGTCAGAGATAGGAAGAAAGAAAAGCAAGGTCAGGGAGTAGAATGAATGGAGTTCAAGTTGGTTAAAATTAAGTTAATAGACTATACAAATTGTACGAAAAAAGCGTGTTTATTTTCCATTTAATCCTCAAATATAATTGTTATGATATCATGAGGAAATCTATATTGAAACAGGCTTGGATCCATTGATACATTACATCAATTACACTGGAACCCACAGACATAAAACAGAGACATTTAAACCTATTTATTTAGCTAAAACTGACATCAGGGTTTCACACAGCATAGGCAGGAGGCATCGCGCTCAACAAATATAGACTACCTCTAAAAACATCAAGTAAAAGAGTAGAGGTGCTCTTACACACACACATTTGATGAATGCGGCTATTGTTTAGGCTTTCTAAAAACAACATTGATCACAAGACGACATACTTTACTATCTGAGCTGCTTACTCTGAGGGGTGGGAAACATATTGATTACTTATATGGAGTGTTTGTGTAATTCTTACTTTTGTCATGTGTGAAGGTGGTCCAGTCCTCCTGGCTGTCCTTCACCTTCTTCATCACTACTAGCCGTCCTCCCTCCACGTCCACAGACAGAGTGTACTTCTGACTCTTTCCTATCTTTGTCAGCTCCGCCAGGTAGACATCCAGCTTTACCTGAGGAGGATCAGAGGAGGAGGATTTAAAAACACACATACTGGAGGTGCTTTTTGCAAAAGTGTCCACAGAGCTCTCTACTTTCTTATAATCTTAAATCTTTCACACCACCAGGGGTCTCCAAAATGAAAGTAGTTGGCTCATTTGCCCTCTTTTCTTTGTCTGTTATCACATACAAAACAAGCTTGCCGCTTCTGAGGAATTAACAGAGTCCTACATTTAAGTTATAAAAAGTCAGAAAGATAAGAATTCTTAAAAGAATGCATTATTTCCATAATCGCTCACAATAACCTGATTCTCTAGTCTAGATGGTCGTTGTTGTTGTTTTTTTTTTTACACACAACTCTCAGCTGTCTACATTTAAAGAGAGAATCCATTCAGACTTTGAGTCATATCATGTGAAGCCTTAACGCGGTTTGTTTGTGTCAGTGGGTGAATTCAGGTGCCACATCTTAAACCCATCTCCTCATCGTAACAACACTTCTGTTCCTGTGCAACAGGAAGCTGCTGAAAGGAGGTCACGACAGAGGATGCAGACTTGGCTGACAGCTAATATTTTAAACCCTTAACCTCCTCTCCCTTCTTTGTAACACTTTTCCCCCCATTTCTTCTAACTGATCATTATCATCTTTTTTCTCTTAACCTCTTCCATCATACTATGAGTTCTGGTTTTGTTTTGTCTGTTAGCTATTATTTCTGCACACTTTCAAAATAAAGACAATCTTATGACAAATAGACACAACTTCAGTCATCCACATTTACTTGAATACCAATTGTGCGAGTGAGTGCATAAAACCAAAAGGGACAAATGTCATATTCTCCGATAAAGCCACTGATGATGCCACAGGATGTGCATTACAAACATTCCTGTGGTCTGCTGATAAACTTCCTGCAGTGTGTCGAGGAATATATGACTTCATAGTCCGTTTACGGTAATTCAGGTTCAGTCTGTTCTCACTGAAACGAAACCACCAATCCTCAAAAGTATCTTTAAATAAATCAGAACAAGCTTGAGACGGATCTCAGGTTTGCCTTAGTCTTAAATCTATAGAATAAGATTTGCTGCAGTCTTTTATTCTTGTAATATAAATATGAACTATTTGAATTAAAACATGAACCGAAATTGACAATAGGGTGGAAAAAGCGTTGATGTCTCATAGGGGGACATTTGAGATAATTTAGTATCTTATTAATAAGTATGTAAGTATTTACTTTGATACTTCATATATTGATTGCGTCACATTTCCCTGATAAGATAAAAGGTGAAAAACAGTTTCAGTTTTAAGGTGATGCACATCCTTGAAATTTCAAATGATAAGAACAAATGACATTAACTACCGCGTTAATACCAATTATGTCACCCTGTAGAGAGAGAACCATGAATAAAACGTTTGTAGCTGGTGTGTGCCGACGTACCTCGAAAGCCTGCACAGGGATGGCTTTGCTGTGACGCATGGAGAGAGGAGGAAGGGAGCAAGGAGAGGACAGACTCATGTCCTGCAGAGCTTTCAGAGCCTAAGGCGACAAAGAGAGAGAAGGAAAGCACCGAGAGTTATAAAAAAATAAAGGACAAATAGAAAAGACACACAGAAACAAACTGATAAACTGTAAAGTGTTCAGCTTCAGTGTCTGTGTCAACAAGGAAACACATTCCCATTTCCTGAATGTGATTTAACAGGAGCAAAAAAGGTGGAGCCAGTGACATCACATGATTCATGACATGCAGCCACTTCCTTCCCTGGCAGCTTAAAGCCTCCTTATAAACGAAGTCCAAGTAGGAATGGTGTCACCCATTAACAGGGCAGAGCTGGTCAAACTTCCAAGTCGGGGAAAAAAGCAAAACGTCTAATGGGTGTGGTACACTTTGCCAAAAAACAAAATCACAGTTTAGCATGACAAAATAAAAATAGCCTTTCGGGTTATGACCCACGTGTTACACCCTCTCCATCTGGCTTTCTGAATGTTACAGATTATGAAAGGAATTTTAGAAGGCTTAAAACAACAACTGGCAGTTTGATCTAGAAATGTCACAAATCAGTCATCCTTTTCACTCCATAGATTTGCCTTGACTTCCATGTGTTCAAAGGCCTTAAGTGGAGAAAATAAGTTCTCCCTTACTTTGACACACACACACACACACACACACACACACACACACACACACACACACACACACACACACACACACACACACACACACACACACACACACACACACACACACACACACACACACACAACACACACACACACACACACACACACACACACACACACACACACACACACACACACACACACACACACACACACACACCACACACACACACACACACACACACACACACACACACACACACCACACACACACACACAACCAGTGGTTGCGTTAGGCCTTTTCGTTGTCCGTCATTTTGACGGACAGGATCGTAAAATTTCCGTCATAATCCATTATTACCCGTCATTTATTTTTCATGTTTTAATGATGAGATGAGACATAGCCTATTTAATATCTATGTTTGGGTACTGAGCGGAAAATGTTCATTCATTCTTTTTATGATTCATACAGAAATTTTAAGGGCATGGAGAAAAAAAAAGATGAACAGAGACACCGACCGTGTGGTCACTTTTCATGTCAACACGAACATGAATGATTTATTTTTTCCTGCACTGACAGCACAGCAGAGGGGGGCAGAGGTCGCTAAAAACACAGCGACCATTGTGCCTAAACAGGCAAATATGAACAATGCCATCGTTTTAAATGAGACAATTACAATCAAAATATGAACAAAACATTTACAAGAACAACTCAATTGACCTGCTGTAGCCAAGCCTGAACGCTGATTTCTGCATCGTGGTGCACCCTCGGACAAATCCGTTACTCATCTTAGCTTTTCTACAGATGTCGCAGAACATTTTGCCATCTTCCCTCCTCAGCCACTTAAACTCTTGCTCCCACTGAACCCGGTACACCCGCTTGAACTCCTTGCCACTTGCTTGCCCCTCTGCCGCTGCAGCTGTGTATTCTCTTGTTCCGATTAACCCAGCCAAATGTTTTTTCTTGTTTTGTATCTATATCTACGCCGGGATGCGGAGTCGAGGTTGATCCTCTTGCTGTAGTCCTGTGTCTTGGATCCTCTATCCTGAGTTCTGGATTAAGTCGTGGACTTCGGGTCGTGGCGGAACCTGTCTCTGCGGTTCTGCCTTGGGTCTCTTCATGCTGCTTCCCTGATGGCTTCCACAGGATTGTAGCTGACATCCTCGTGGATTCATCTTCTTATTACAGACACATGCATTTCCTAACATTCGGTCTATATGCTGTAAAATGTATTATCTCTTCGATTTACACACGGCATCTATTGCACGTCTGTCCGTCCTGGGAGAGGGATCCCTCCTCTGTTGCTCTCCCTGAGGTTTCTCCCATTTTTCCCCTTAAACTGTGGGTTTTCTCTGGAAGTTTTTCCTCGTACGATGTGAGGGTCTAAGGATAGAGGGTGTCGTTTTTCTCATACTGATATTCTGAACAATCTGTACTGTTGTATTTGCTGTAAAGTGTCTCTACTGTAGGCTATTTTTATTATATGTACAGCTCGACCAAAAATCGTTTAGAAATGTGCTATATAAATAAAACTTGATTTGATTTGATTTGAACGTTGTCAGTTTTAGTCTTACTGGCTTGTCCTTCATCCTCCACCGCATCAATCGCGGGGAGGGTGATCTAAACTTACACTTACAGTGTGTGTGTGTGTGTGTGTGTGTGTGTGTGTGTGTGTGTGTGTGTGTGTGTGTGTGTGTGTGTGTGTGTGTGTGTGTGTGTGTGTGTGTGTGTGCATGTGTGTGTGTGTGTGTGTGTGTACCTTCTTCTCTATGGATGACAGCAGGTCTTTGAGGATTGCTAGCTTGGTCACAAGGTTCTCCAACTCCTGGTCTCCACCCTGATTCACCGACTGATGGAGGAGATAAAACAAAGACAGAGCAACGGGTCATAGGTTAGATAAAAAGAAGGAGGTGTTGTGTTTTGCTGGCCTTGTTATTTAGCTTTTAAAATAAGTGATGCAACAATGAGGCCTTGACATAGAAAGAGCCTGATTCTGAGTTAGTAAATCGCACGCCTAAAGTATGCATTTTGTTAAGACTTTAAATACTGGTCCATAATGTAAAATTGCAAAGCTAACGCATGTATACATACATCTCATCTCATTTTTAACATAAAACTAAATGATCGTTTTTGCTTGATGATTAAAGGTAAAACAAAACGTATGCCACTAGTCAATTCATCATGTAACTTAAGTGATGACCTTTAACCATTTAATATGTATTTCAACCCTAACACAAGCAAACGCAATCATTGGAAAACATTGTAAAAAAGAAGTTTCAACATGCACATTTCCTACACAGACAAACACAAACTACTTAGTGCTAGATTTGCCCTGCGAAATATTGTTTTGAAAACATGTGTATGACTGAAGTGTGACTAAGGCCACCCCAGCCGTCCCCAGAAGACCCTGGAGAAAAATTACATCCACTAGAGAGTGTGTGTGTGTGTGTGTGTGTGTGTGTGTGTGTGTGTGTGTGTGTGTGTGTGTGTGTGTGTGTGTGTGTGGTGTGTGGGTGTGTGTGTGTGTGTGTGTGTGTGTGTGTGTGTGTGTGTGTGTGTGTGTGACAGCTTCATATTAGTACTCTTTGCATGTATAGGTCACAATATGTGTTTTCATGAGCTTGTTAATGTCATGTAACTCAATAAATGTTTGCGGTGAGAAACAAAACGTTAAAGTGAGAAACACAGGATACATTTAAGAGCGAACAGAGAAGTGAATGTTTGGGAAGTGGGGTGGCTGTATTCTGAGGGAAGCATGCTATTTTTTGTTTAAAAATCATCAAATGTCCATACATACTCTTAATTGCTCGAATAAAAACGCAGACCACTTGACATGCTTGGTTTCAACATACTGTACATAGTATACTGTGTAAAGCAGGAATGCAGAAAAGGGCTTAAATACACTGCCACAAACATGGTGTTAGACAAAGGAAGCAGGAGGACGGCTTGCATTCTAATTAAGCTACACATACACAGATGTACAGAGGGGCAAACATGTGTACCTGCTGGATCATCTTGGACACCATGAAAGCACTCTGCTGATCAAACACTTTAGACAGGATCTCCAGGCCAGACAGAACCTTATCCACCTCCCTGGTTCGGGACACAGAGAGATTTATAGTTACTCATTTAGATCTGTCTAAAGGAAATGACTAAAGTATATGTATGCAAGCATGATGGGGCTGCACATGTAACATGTTTTAATCCTAGCCTGTTTAATGTAGTATATTTCCTGTGTATTATCACAATGTTTGAATGTAACACGTGTGGCATTGTGACCAAAACAAGACTTAAGGTGATGTTTTACAATTCAGAAAAAGCATACAAAGAACAGCCTTGTATACAATATGCATAGACAAGAATATGTGTGCATACAGATGTGCTGGTGTGTTTTTCTTACCCATTAAGGCGTTTGCATGAGGAAACTAGAGTCTTGTTGAGGTGAGGCAGAGAGGAGGCTCCCTGTTTGACTGCCTCCAGGTCCAGAGCATAGCTGCCTTTCAGGTACTCGTGGGAAATGGTGCTCAGGCCATTAGCTGCTGGAGTGCTAAAACAAATGAAGTCCATAAGTCATTATGTATAACTGTTAGCAGATTTAGACTTAAACCTTTTGTCTCCTGCAGCAGAAAGGTGAATAATCTCAGCAGTTCAAGTTTAGCCATTCATCACGGCGTTATTTATTATAGGCACACATATCAAGAGGCTTGAGGACAGAGAGAGAGAAGGGGAGTGACATCCAACGGTCTTATACCCCAGATAGTGACATCATCAGTCATGTGGTGCAACCCTTGGGTGCAACGCTAACCAATGAACACAGTTAGTAGTCGCAGCTACTTACACAGACAATGTGGTACACAGTAATACATTGAGTCATAAACTATACATGTCTCTGTATGTTATATCTCAACAATAACCATCTTCAATACGTGCATATACTTAAAAATGGGGTAGGTCATTTTGGAGAAACCAACTCGATGTGCACTAGAATTTGAAAATACACAACCGGAAAAAATCTGCCACTTCCTTACAGAGCCCCTCCTCCACGAACGCGCACATGACCAATGAGGGCACGAGATACGTTTGTGCACGAGATGGAAGGCTGACAGGCAGTTAGGCCATCCAGTCATTTTAGCCGGACCGGTTAAAATGATTGGTCGTGCTTTTTACAGTACTACCACGGCTTCCACAGATGACATTTTTTGATGTATTTATTGTCAAAGCATTTAATATATTCATTGCTATCGGGATGTTAAGAGCATTCCATGGAATATAACAAAAAGTGTTTCTGAAATAAATTACATACCCCACCTTTAACCTGCTGTATAATATGCATGTTATACTACTTTGATGTTATGACTAAATATATCTTTAAACTTGCATCTGGTCACTTTCGTAAAAAGATATACTGATAATTCGTTTTTTTTTAACATGGTTTACTAATCTGGTATTTGTTTTTACATGTTTTTATTATTAATAACAGGTGCTTACTTGTTTATTTAATATGTAAGTCTATTCTCTTTTCTTTATCTGCACTATACTTCTGCTGTTGCAATACCGTTAATTCCTCCGTTGCGGGAAAAATAAAGGAATTCTGATTCTGATACTTAAAACAATGAATCAAAAATGTGTATTAATTACATTTCTTTTATCATAACACCAAGAACTTTAATGGCTTTATCGTGGTCATACCTTGAAGCCAAGTGTTAGAATCGGAAAGCAATTCTATCTGCGCAGTCAGGGTTTTTAAATCACACACTTCCTCTAACACAGAGAGCTGACTTATGTCTAACCTGCCACCCACAGTCACAGCTGCACAAAAACACACACTTGCAAACACACACAGACACACAAACACCAACTGAGCCAGCAGAATGCCCCCAGCCTCCCACACACTGTAAACTATACCTCTTCAACTATCTTTAAGAGTTTGTATCTGTGGTTTTAAACGCAATGCCAGTTCTATCTGAGCTGAACATTAAGGTCTAGCCAAGAAAGGATAGCAGCTTCCTTTTTTTTGTTTTACTCAAATAGCTCCTGCTATGCCCTTTCCTTAGTAGGAACACTGAGTCTTTATTTTGACAGCCCATATGCCACTTTTAATATGGGCAAATAAAACACTAGCTATACGCCCATACACTTTTATGATTAAGATCCTTTAATATGGTCCACATTGTGGTTTTCAAATAAGCTTGGCAAATGTTCCTAAACCAAGCCTTATTTTTAACTTTAACTCAGCAAAATATAAAGTTTAAATGAAATGATGTTTTTTAGCTTCACTCATCCATGATGTTTTGTGCTCTTGATCGAAGATTTGAATGAATCATACATCACGACTGATTTCCACCTTTTTCTAATTTTGTCCGGAAGCTTTAAACTTTAACGGACATGTTAACCGGCGAAACCCCACCTCTGCTACTAAATCCAGCATGGAGAATAAACAGAAGGTCAACCATGGCAACCATGGCAACCATGCATGTGCGAGAAGTCTTCTTCGCTGCTTTTGGTGTATTTTGTGGCAGAAGTACATCGCCACTTAGAGGCCCGATATATGTACTACAGCGTCTCGTGTGGACGGACACGTTTCTGGTGCCTATTGCGTGTGGACGGAAGACTTTTTTGATAACGATTTCGATTTGTTTCCGTTATCGTCCTTGTGTGGCTGCAGCCTTAAACAAAGCTTTGCATCATCTGGGACCAACATGGCTTCCAACAGGATGTGGCTTTCCTTCTTTATGCAAACAGAGGGGGGCACACAGGCAGAGCGGAGGTTATTAATGCATGCAGAGCACAAACCCAGCACCATTTACCAGCCAAATACTGGTCACATGCAAGTGGCTAGTAGGATTGCATCATTCACTAGCCAAACACACAATGATAATGTATTGAGTGACTGGTAACTTGTGAAAATTCCCAACAAAGTACATTTTGCAACCTGTGTGTGTGATAGTATTTTTATGTTTGATACTAATATTTTACAGTGTTTAATGAATGATGTGTGCGTGCCCTGGGGCAGAAACAGTGAATGTGAAAGAGAAACTATAGGTTACTTACGTAACCCCAGTTCTCAGAGTAACATGAAGTGAGATGTCTCACTATGGGATGCGCCTCAATGCGTATGCAAACAGAAGCATCAATCTCATTACGCCAATCCTGATTGGCTGGTGATCTTGACGTCAACGTCAGGGAATCCACCCACCCTTTAAGTAGCTTGCGCTACGTCGCAGCGTCATTCAAAAATAAGCACCTCTTCTCGCTTCGCCTTAGCAAGAAGGGCTGTCTGGTGAGACATCTCACTTCATGTTACTCTGAGAACTGGGGTTACGTAAGTAACCTATAGTTCTCATTCATAACACTCTAGGGGTGTAACGGTACACGTACCCGTACCGAAATTATTCGGTACGGGCCCTTCGGTTCGGTACAGGTGTGTACCGAAGTGTACCGAACGAATATAACGTTAAAACGTAAAAAATTGAGAACGTAAATAACTTTTTGGAAGTAATCTCAGGTGCTGCGTCGCAGCATTCAGAGTAATTTGCTCACATTGGGTTCAACGCGTCATAGAGCGAGCAAGTCATTTCATTGGATGAGAGGCATACTATGAGAGCTGGTCAGAGGGATGCGTTCAAATGTAGTCAGTAATTTGAGGAACTGTCAAAAATTATAGCGAACGCAGATAAAGTTGAGCTCGAAAATCCTCCAGCATCATTGAAGTCTCCGGTTTGGGAACATTTTGGTTCCGCAGTTACGTACAAGGATGACGGACAAAGACAGGTGGACCGAACCAAAGCTGTTTGTCGGCATTGTTCAACTAAAATTGGTTACGCGGCTGGCAATACATCAAACTTGCACACTCTTGAAAAGGCATCACCCGAACGTGAATATCACCGGTACCAAAAGAAAAAAGACTGAAGTGCAAACCCAACTCCCACTAGCATGTTAGCCTCCACCACTCGCAGAAAGATCAGACCGAGCCAAAGCTATTACAAACACCAAATATCCTTATGTTGCCATGTTAGCAAAGCGCTACCTGGCTGTATCTGCTACCTCTGTCCCTAGCGAGAGGGTTTTCTCCACATCAGGAGACATTGTTAGTGCCAGCAGATTTGCCCTTTCGGCAAGCTTTGTGGACAAGTTAATTTTTCTTTAAAAAAACATGAAAATACAATGACAAGCAAGTCATAATGTCAAGCTGGCTGCTTAGGAACTAGTACAGTACAGTTCAAATACAGATTATTTCAGTTCATCGAAATGCTGCACCTTAATGTTCATTTTATTATATTTTGTATTTATTTGAGTGAATATTCACAGTTTAATAATAATTAAAAACCCCAAACTAATAGTTTATGTTTTGTGAGTACTAGTACAGTAAAGTTCAAATACAGATTATTTCAGTTCATCGAAATGCTGCACCTTAATGTTTATTTTATTATATTTTGTATTTATTTGAGTGAATACATTATTCACAGTTTAATAATAATAATAAAAAAATATATATATATGTTTTGTTTTGTGAAAAAAAATTCTGCTGTACCGAAAACGTACCGAACCGAACCGTGACCAAAAAACCGAAGTACGTACCGAACCTAAATGTTTGTGAACCGTTACACCCCTATAACACTCCGTTCGATGTCTCACTATGGGATATTGAAACTCCCGTATTGCTAGACATGCTTATCTCAAAAATCACCAAAACAACCAGAACTTAACAGGTAGAACCCTGTCTCAACACGGGGCCCAGCACTGCGCGGGCCACACTTGGAGCAGAGACATCTAGCCTGTAAAAGCGGACAAAAGTGAGCGGTGAGGACCAGCTCGCTGCTGCACAAATGTCTTGGATGGAAACACCCTTGAACAAAGCCCAGGATGTAGCCAGTCCACGAGTAGAATGAGCATGCAGGCCCGTTGGTGCCTGCAAACCCTGACTCGTATAAGCCAGAGCAATCGCTTCCACAATCCAGTGGGAGAGCCGTTGCCTGGTAACGGGCTTGCCCTTATGAGGGTTAACCCAGGATACAAAGAGTTGTTCATTGCATCGAAACTCTTTTGACCTGTCCATATAGGTGCGTAAAGCACGGACTGGGCACAGCAAATTCGACCGCTGTTCCTCAGAGGAACACAGTGGCGGAGGAAATGCCTCAATGTCAATGGGGGTGAGCCAACCACCTTAGGTACAAAGGCAGGGTTGGGCTTCAGCAACACTCTTGTTTGCCCCGGGGCAAACTGAGTGCATGAAGGATGTACAGAGAGCGCATGATTGTCACTGACTCGCTTGGCAGATGCCAGAGCCAGTAACAACACTGTTTTCAGTGACAGGTGTTTCATGTCACCTTCTTCCAGGGGTTCAAATGGAGGTCGAGTGAGCCCATCTAAAACCACTGCCAAGTCCCATAAGGGCACCAGTGACCTGGAAACCGGGAGGAGCCTGCGAGCCCCTTTCATAAAACGGCAGACCAAGGGATGTTGGCTAGCCGTCTTTCCCTTAAAGCCCACATGGCATGCAGCAATAGCAGCCAGGTACACTTTGATCGTAGAGAAAGCTCTGTGTTT